AGCAAAAAAACCATAACGGGGTTGGTCAGTGAGTCCTATATTAGGGCTATATTTTTTCAGTGGGCCTCTCAACCAAGTTTATCATTTCCTTCGATTGCTGCGGGCAAGTAGTTTATGCTTTCAGGTATTGTTTGCATCGTTTGTTGCGCATAGACAATTATTTGGACTAGGTCAATTAGCATCTTGTCTAGGACACGCCGGTGAAGAACGGTAAGCAGCTCTCGAAAAGATCCCGTTGGCAAAGCATACAGACGGCCATAGTTTAGCCTTATAATAGTGACTTCTAAGAAATTACATCGTGGCACACAAACCCCGACATGTTAATTATCCTTCGAGACTTATTAAGCGAACTGAGAGATGCGCCAATACCTGATGCGCCTGATTACTTATGATTATTATCGTTATTATATATATATATATATTATAGTTAAAATGAACAACGTTTAGATATCTATGAGTTTGCATTTGTTGTTGCGATAGTTTATCATATAGAAAAATCTATACTTAGCCTATTACTATAAGTGGCTAAAAACTGTCTGTATCATATAACTCCCATTCCGAAATACGGCTATCTCGAAGTTAACAAGTATTCTCCAACGCATTCAAGCGTTTGACTCAACAATATATATACTTCATTGGATCAGGACGATCTATCAGTAGTTCCTTGTGTTCAGATCAGCGTTTACGAATAATTTAAAATAAAGGTTAGAAAAGTTTAAAGTTATTACAGCGTACTCAGCATATTAACGCATTTGATTCCAACATGTATCTTGTGTTATCTTCCAATCTCTACCAACCGGCTAAAGAATCGTCACACACAGAATTCTTCTCATACGCCAGCGACTCAGTGCATCAGACGGTGAATGGCGGGCGGAAGAATCGTAAAAAAACACAGGGCTAAAGATGGATTCAGAAGAGCTATCGATTGTTGGGTTGACTTTTTAATCACATCATGCGAAAGACGAGCTACAAATTGCCGATCCGTAGGTGGAGTATTTGTAGACTGCACCTCGCCAATTCAAATTCCTTTACTTCACAAAACAATACGATACGTCTTCCGAATCTGCACAGGTCTCCCGAAGGAAATAGGTCGTTGCGCGTTGCCTTATGAGATCCCAAACAACACCAAGAAATGTGTTCTCCTAGTCCCTGGCATCATATATGCAGGCTTTTGTCACAGTACAGCCTAGCGATTTAAAAAAAAAATATCTTTACGCAAGTTTACTTAAGAAAATTGATTTAGATGGCCGTAATGTAAGGGTCTTTGAAGCTGATACGGATATCATCTTGTTCATTAAAAAGATTTAAAAATTAAAGGCAGACAAAAAAAATAAGGTGTGTAAAAATGTGGTGTTGAGTAGTTATTGATAGCGGCAAAACTACTTTTTTTTTTTTTTTTTTCGCTGGATAATGCACAGATAAATTGCCTATGTTGTAAACCTTTTTTGTTCTTTTATTAAATTATTTACCACAGTATATCCAATGCATAGTCGAGCTTATATCATAACGCGATTAAAATTTTGCAATACTTTAACGAAAACCAAAAATTAGAGCAAATTTTATTCATATCCTTCGATCTTTTCGACTGTCCACATTGAGGGACCTCATTGTTTTCCTAGCGGTGTACATTTTGAGTGGCTCAGAAGGTAAACATCAGTGGTTTTTTTAAATTCTAGAAACAAAAACTCGAGTATTAAGATAACTAATATTGTAACCCAGGTAGGCCGTACGAGCTTCGTATCCCTACATACGATTCTGCACTTGTTGTTCATTGTGTAAGCTTTCCGTTTCAACTTTTTATGGTGTCTATATCTAGAGCGTAACAAAGTATATAGAATAGTATTAGTTTATCTGCAGCAAAGAGGTATAGGCCAGCTTTTACCCAGCTACACAGATCATTCTGTATCCAGTCGCTTGTGCAATTGAAAAGCCGCGGACACACTGGTCCTTTCAAACACCCGGACAAATTCCAAAATCAATTCTGACAAGCTCGAATAGATCATACGTCAATCAATATATGCAGTTATTTTTGGCCAACGCTGCCATCCTTTGCAATTTGAATTGGTTAGCTGTCATAAACTCCCCGTGGGCCACCACGTGAACTGTTCGATTAAAGTTTTCTTTTAATGGTTTCTTGCTGGGGCCGGGGGTACGTGAAACCAAATCATTTATCATATAGGAGTATGCGTTACGCAGGGCAGACAAGTGTTGTCTACATCATCCTATTCACTCATATAGACTATCGCATTGTACGCACTTTATGTACCAAAATAGAATACGTATTATTCAAATGAGAAGGATGCAAGGCGCGCGGGGAAGGTTCCATTTTGCATGCATATCTGGAAGAGAACTCTAAATAGTGATATTGGCCAGAACTATCGCCGGAGTCTCTTCCAGTCAGCCAAGGACGTCGCGAAAAATTGAAGGTCAATGACAGTCCTTTCATTGCAACAAAAAGTAAATTCTTCGTTGCGATCACAAGCAGCAGGTATCTGTCTGGAAGGATCGCAATACTATTCGTGCTGCTATGTTAAATAGACTCATATATGATCTTTAGGCCTAAGGAAAGGTGCGACATATGTTGAAAACGTCAGCCAAAAAGTATGCTCCAAATTCAGGTTTTTTTTCCCCTAAGTGTTAATTTATTTCTTGTCTATGCACAACACTTAAGTTAAATTCTCCTCTATGGTTCGTTTGGCAGGGATTTTCGCCTCGGACTTAGGTACTGCTCGCAAGACGGTTCGGGTGGAAGCTAGCTGCGCTGATCCAATAGACGCTCGGGCAAATGTTCCTTAGGTCGCATATATTTCCTACGGAATCCACAATTATGCGACAAGGTTTCTTGCAATTCCTTGTTTTGACGACGTACTCTCTAATTGTTAGTTCATTCCATACACTGAAGCTGTGATGATAGCAAGTGCAATCATGAGAAATTTCCGCCGCAACGTCGTCGCAGTAGCTATCTATAAATGCGAAATAAAATCTGGGCGCAAAGAATTGAATTTTTAGAGAAGCGGAAGTGCCATGTCGGGCCTAAAAGCTTCTTAATGTTTATGCTTTGTGTTGGCTGTATATGCTACATAAAAAAGGACGCTAAGGACGAACTAACAAAACGTCATGTTCCGTAACTTGAATTTATGTGCAGGGACAGAAGAGCTTTGGTTCGTTCGTATATTTCCTTGTATGTTGAAAATCATCGAAAATCTATGCACTCACATTGAGCAACTATTGCAAGAACGAAACGTATGTTTGAAAAGCGCGCTACATGAAGTATCTGTAAATATTCGAATACGTCTTCGGTCCTCATGTTGACTTAGTTGTGATATGTCCTGCAGGGAACACTCGTCAGTAAATACATTATCGATTACACAGGCCCAAGGTCTTCTCTGGTAACCTCGGTAGTGATCTGTCTTTTGCATATTTCAGTCCGACGTCTCGGGTATGGTCTGTACTTCGGATACACTTGTTGTGATCAAGTGAATTACTATTTTTGCCGAAATTATTTACTGGTAAACTTGCCTATAAGCTTCACTCTGTACTCGTAGTCTCTCTCGTGTCTCGGATCGTCGTGTCGCTACGTGAATGCTAACCGCGTAGTTCTGACTGTGTAGCTGAAAAGATTCAGCATGTGAGTCTGTGCCCCGCCGGAACATGAATGTGGAAAGCGGCCAGCAGCCGTAGAAGATCCTGAGGAAAAAACCATGTCCTATCATCGTTGCCGTTGTTTGCAGTGAACTGGTCGAAATAACAATGGGTTTTGTCGAACGGGTTAGTGTTATAAATTTTCTAACGGCATTTTCCAGAACAGTGCTGGTCCACTTTGTTGATTGGTAACATCTTTGTTCGCGGTGTCCGTTTAAGGCGCTCTGTCGCATGTCTACCATTATACTACATGCTTTTGTATGATGCGCAAATAAGTGTACTTATTTTGTTTGACATGAAGTTAAATTTGTGCCCCATCACTTAGGGGGCGCAGCCATCGCGTACCCCAAATCCTGTTTTATTAACCACGGTGTGATGCTAAAATGGTACGGGTGACGTATTAGATCAAATTCACATTGGTTGATCGTATGCATTTTAAATCTGCACCTTGATCCTGTTAGGCCTTTGCCTCCCACGTTCATGCGTACATAATTTGCGCAGCTCGATTCACGCATTAGCTACTGTATCCTTTAGGTACTCTCTGGACACGTCACAGTATTAAATTATACATACCAAAATTATATCGTTTGTTTTAAAAGTCTAGGCTGTAGGAAAATACAGATAGAAGATTGATGATACATTTACATCAGAAGCGAATTAGATTGCGCAAATGTTACGTATTAAACATACATGTACGTGGCGCAGGGCAGCGAGCTAAGTCCCACTTCGAATACGAACTAAGGGTATGTTCATTGGGCCTAATTAAGCCATTTCGTTTCCTGGCATATATAGTAGCTTCTACCCGTAAATATGCAAACACGTACCCCATACACTGTTTCTATCGACAGAAGCGATCTATTTTGATATGCTAACAAGTTCGAAAATTAAGTTGCGGGTTTAAAGTTAACAAAGTTGGCTTGTGAACAGCGATCAACTAAATAACTTTATTTGAGCAGATAAGGTAACGCAGGACAGATATTTCAGTTTCAGTGCATTGAACAGCAACTGCGTTGACCTTTTCTGGCAAAACTTTCGTGAAGGCTAACAATTTTTTAAAACGTAGAAATACATAAATGGGGTATATCTTATCTTCATTCTGTGCTTAAATAATCGATGCTCGTAACGATTGGGAACCCTGAGAAGCCTTTTGTTTTGGATATTTGCAATATTCAAATTGTTAAGTCACGCTGAGACTCAGACACTGTACGCCTTGTTACTTAACGTCCTTATAAGGACCGACCGCTTATTTAATATGTACTTAATTGTTGTTAGCGGTCCTGAGATGGCAAATCTGACGCAGTCACCCGCTGCCTCTCTCGGAATTGCAACATATCGAGCAGCAACATATCGGAATTGCAGCAACGAGAATACAATGGACTAATGCACTCCAGATATCTGCCGTTTAGGAAGCGCCCATAGTGAAATTGTATTGAGCAACGTGTAATCAGATCCGCTGTACGTAGTTCCGTACAACTGAATCTTCACAGGGGACATGTCCTTAAACCTCGTCAGTGCATTAAAGGCAGCGGAAGTATTGACTCATACACCTAAAGAAGATCTATTCTTCAGCTAGAAACGTTTCTTGTCGTCGATGACATTTATTAGTGACATGTGTATGTACATATGTAATTAGCTAGGTCGTTATTTTGGCTAAGTTGATCGAAAGTTGATTGGTTAGGTTGAACAGAAAGACTAGCTGCGAAAAAAATTTTCGTCGGTAACATTTTTGATAATTTTGGAAAGTAATTCGAATGAAATTCGACGACAGCGTGCCGTCCATGAAGATTTACATTTATCCAATCAGAATATTGGGCCTTGGCACCAATCTTCTGCTTGGGGTCTTCTGCGGTAGAAGGCAAAGTTCGAAGCCGTGGTGTTCGTCGGCTTAAATAGATTTACCAATGTTAGAGGGTTCCATGTCCGTGCACCCCGACAAATAATAACACAGAAATTTATCAATATAGCAAGAGCGTAAAAATCGTTTTCTTATCGATTATCAAAGTGATGCCTAGTATCTATTGAAGTTAATAATAGAAAAAATGCTCCATCCTGCGTTCGATTCGTGCGTTTCATAATTGCTTCCCTCATTGGTGTTAATGGCGAGCTCAGTTCGCACAAGGCCGAGGCCAAATACCGTTGACGAAATAGAGGAGATAGTCGGAGCTGTGGGTAATACAACTGACACAGAGGAATGTAATTCTAGTTTGTATAAAATCTCGGTGATTTGTTTTTTTTTCATCGATGGTTATATGGATTTTTCAGATAGCTGCTGGACCAGATCGTTAAGCATTAAGTTTCTCCCATGATCATAAGGGTGGTAAAGCAGTCATGATCTGAACAACCGATGCTCGTCGTTGATTAATTATCTTTTCATTGATCCATGTTGAAACTAAATGAGCCTATTTAGTATATAATATATTGTGCGTTATGGCACAATCCGATGTACATTTGTCAAGCTTAAGACTGCCGCTGTATTTTAAGGTAATTGTAATTCTCATTTCTAGGTACCGCTTCTGGCAGGAACCTTAAAGGCCAACTATGTGACATTCAAATTAGAAACCTTACTCATGCTCTGGAAAGGACACCAACCGAATTGATGTATATGTACTATGCTATTATCGGCATAAAATTGCAATAATCCCAAATGTCAGTTGTGGACCCTTTTGTAGTAATACTATAGCGCAGACCATTACTTTGTACGGAAACTGAGCCGGTGAGTTTACTTAAGTAATGGATAAGCGCCGGACGATTTCTGCATCCGCAAAGAATAATACCGCATCTTTTCTTTGAAAAACAAGAAATTCGTTCCGATTTTTACTTCTGCACATCTTGATTCAGTGCTTATCTGTGCAATGTTTGCATAACTTTTTTACATTCTGAAGTATTGCACTTATAAAAGCGAACTAATCTCTACGGCCTAGTTCTCTTCTGCGATCATTCGATTTATCAGGATGTTCATTTGCATGGCAGCAAGCAATGGATGGAGCCCCAACGCTTTCCGAAGAAGCCCAAGGGCAAGGCAGGTTTGAGCTAATAAACGACTTCAACCCTTGTACATACTGTGATAGTATCAAATGAGTCTAATCAATGCACCGCTATCGTTCCCTAGGTAGTGCAAGGTTGATGTGTAGTATGTTGAGTAGATAGAACCTCAGGATTCATTAAAGAAAAGGCTTATAAGTCGATCATTAAAGACAATATACTACCTCAAACATAAAATTAGCGCTAAATTGCGCTCTCAAACCGCGTTGACACCATACTGATATTAAAACAGTTAACCGTTGTCTAATCGTTGGATTATTTAGAGCTCAAATAGGCGTTTTTCGTTGACCTGGTGTAGCTTATCTAGCACTCGTCGAAAAGACAAAACGAAAATATTTTTTAATCCTTCCTTAAAAAAATTTCTGTTTTAAACGGTTGCTAGAAAAATTAAGGGACTGCTCAGGCGTTCTTAGGTTATCAGTCAGCTTAAATGTATATTTAGCGATTTGATTACGTTCTCTTTTACATCAAAGCTTTCCATCGGACAGTTCACTGATAGCGTTACGCCATCGAAACAAGAAAGCAAAGAAAAATCATTTTATGCTTAATGAATTACAGAAATGTTCGTACATCAACATAGATAACGTGGTGGCATTATGCTGAGTGATCTGGGAATACGAAACTTGTACACAGCGAAACGGTCATCATGATTTCACCAGGGGAATAGCAGTATGTGACGTCTCCATGGCATTATGATTACTTGGCACCACGTTGTCCTTGTTTAGGGTTCGAATATCAGCTAGGTTGTCCGGCAAGGGAGCATTAAGTGTCTCTGGTAGGAAAGGCAGCGAAAGGCCTGCTCCGATACAGGCCGCTGCTAAGACGAAATAAGGTGCACAATGATACCACTCGCCCTATACAAACGCAATCAACAGAAATATAGTACGAACCAGAACATCAACACGGCTAGAAATAATTCGACGCTGTACTGTTTCATGTTATGCTAACAATGGAATAATCAGAATGTTGACTGTATAATACTAAAATAATAGTTATTGTCATACGAGGTCTCTCATGAAGGGCGCAATTGTTCCTCCAATCCGTCCGAAGCAGAAGCAGCAGCTGAAGCCAAAATTGCGCACGATCGTGGGAAAAATCTTCAAAAAGAAACGAAACTTTAATAGTTATGTTAACGTCAACGAAAAAAAGCAGGATATTTTGTCAAGAATGAAGGTAGCAAAATTGTCCAGGAGTCATCAATGGAAATATGTCGACCATTTGAATGATCCTTATTGAAGAGATATGTACGATCAATAAGACAGTGTAATGCGTAGCTGAATAGCGGTGTCTGCTAGGGACACATACACGAATAGGGATGATATTTACAAGGCGATTATATGCGTTTACCTCAAGCGTATACGTCCAGATGATCCCAGTAGACGTCACAATTGAAAACCGAAGCAACATTGCGGCTATTAGATGTAACCATTCCGCTGAATCTACATATTGAAAGTAAAAATAGCCATAGTTTGCCCTTAGTTGAGTTATTCATGAATTTTTTCAGTGGTTTTTATCTATTAAAATGGTCCAAGCGTCGACTAGATGCTATAATAAACACCCCACGACAAACGTTGTTTTTTTTTAAACAATTATGGGTCAGAAGTATAAAAAAATAGTTGTCTCTGATATTTTTGAAGTACATCCATCAGCCATTGCTTAATTTACGATTTGTTGCATGAAATCAATATCATGTCACTTGCGATGTCGGGTTATATGTAGGCGGAAAAAGGCTAAATGTGTAGGCTTTTAAATAAATCATTCTGTCCAGTCTCGCTAGCACGGGTTATCTAAGTTCTATCTTCGTAATTCGATGGTCGTAACATAAACATAGATTATTAATTTTAGCCATTTCTCTGGCATGCCTCGGGGTGCTTACACAGATGAACATTTTTTAACCTGACGCGACGGCTATGAAGAAGTTAGTAAATGTCTTCGATTTAATGTGTAAAGATTAGGAAAACCATATCAAAATACTAACGGTACGCTGACCTTGTGGCAACACAGCAAGCGCGATAAAAGCACATGACGAGATAATGAGGAAACCCCCGACGGAGGACTTTCGTGAAACAAATCTCAGAAGCACGATAGCACCTGCACCACCAGCGACCCCTGCAGCTGCTGTACAGGCGAAATTGCGCGGCCGATCGCCTGGGATTCGTGTCGAGAGGTAGATAGCTGAAAAAAACGCCGCTTGGTCCAAAAACCTCGGCGCCACAAAAGACATAATGATTGTGATGTGTTAGTCAGAACCAGGTTCATTACCCAGGTTAATCGCTGAATGATCCGCAAGCTAAAATGTAATTTTCTCGCTCGACCACCGAAAAGTCAATTCCAAATTCACATAACACCTTACCATAATGAGAATAATGCTAGAACGGTGTTGCGGTAGGCTGAAGTCTTCAGCATGTCAGCAAGGCTTACGCCGACCTGTTTGGGCAATATTTTTCCCGTTGACAATGGCAGATTGTCAAGGACAGACACGTCCTGTTTATTGAAACGTAAGATATTTTCGAGTGCACGACGAGATCTGGCAGGTTGACCTTTCGTCAAAAGCCATCGAGGCGATTCTTGGAGGATGCTGAATCAATGAACAAAAATACAGAGTAAGCATAAAATTCATACGAAATTTCCAAAAATTCATTCATCTATAGTGACAAAGTTGCCAAGGATGTGTCCATACCCCCTTCTACAATTTACTAACGATCGTTATGCGACGAGCATCGCATTAGGCTGAAAGATTAATGACTAAATTTATGATAAGTAGCTGCCCTAGTACAGAACTAGTAGATTGCCGAAAATGCAATTATAGAGAAGTTAATCTTTGCGAACTGGCGAATGTCGGAAGCTTCTATAATAGGCTTTCCGTTGCAAATCAAGTTTGCTCTTCGAGACAATAAATTGTTCTGTATTGAATATATCCGAATACAAAGTAGGTCTACCAGAAAAAAGGCAGCAAAGGCACGGCGCTAAGTCCCATAGCCATCTGAACGCCTCTCCAGCTGTGAAGGAATCCTGCCAGAGATGGAGAGAACAACATTGGTATCTGGAACCCCAACGCAAACCCGACATTCAGCAAGCTCCGATGTTCGGCAAGGCTCACTTCAGTGTCTATGGGCGAGTAACATATACACGAATATGCAAGTACAATGGTAGTACAAGTTACGTCAATTTGTGCCATCAATCAAAAACACGTATCAATACTACTTACCAGCGGATAAATTATTCATTTGTTAATATAGATGCTCTTCAATGATTTGTTCGTAACCCATCTATGGTATAATCATACGGTCTATGAAAACGCGCCACAATAGGCTTCTGCACGAAAGCCTATCTCGATACACCTTGCCTCGGGTAGCTCGTATACTAATCTAAGTTAATTATTTGACTGGATTGTTAAGTTCGGAAAATTATACTCTAACCGTCTGAAGTATCAAAGATTTCAATGGTGGTATGTTAACATGCGGTCATTAAGATACACACAGAATGTGGAGATGCTTGTATTTAGTCCAGCGATGCAGACGCACTGAATAAATCGTAGCACGTTAAAAAATGCTACGGAAGGCGCGAACGACGCAATGAACCCGAATAATACAAACAACGCCGTAGACCACGTATACGAAGGAAGTCGGCCAATTCTGAAACGGGGAAATAACTTAATTTTTACAGATTTTACTTACTACGCCTCGCCGAACGATAGAACGTTCGGAAACATTAACTTAGTGCATGGTCGATTGTCGAATACACTGTACCATATTATTTATTGGCTAATGTCCATGATGAGGTTGGTCATAGAGTGACGTAATTGGTCAGTGCCGCTTGTTCGCTTTTCATTATGAGTAACTTTTCAACGCCGGCGTACAACAGTGATGCTCTTCTAAGTTGTAAAACTTACCGATCAGAGAGTTTTCCAATGAGAAGGGCACCAAATATCTGCGCCACGAACACGACGCTCTGAATGGCGGACTTCTGCCAGGAGCGTTCACAGACAAGATTAAACTAACGAATAGGAAACGGAAAAGAAGGCCAAAATTATTAATAATGAATGAACGCTAACCCGGTGATAGCTATTTATCACTATGAAGTTAAGTATATGCCATATTACATTGTGTTAATTTTTCCGTATTGAGTATTATGAGGTTATTTAATAAAGGAAATGGGCCTGTGACAGTTTGACAAAAAAACTCAAAGGTTCTAATTAAGGGATATTCGCCCCTTAAAAGCCCCATACTTTGCCTAAAAGGGACGCTACGAAATTTATCGTTAAATTAAGCTCATCACTAAACGAAACACTATAACAGTAAGATATGTGCAATAAATAAATAGAATCAATTTGAAAAACACACAAACCTCCGCTACTGAGCTTGATAGTAACGTCGTGTTGAAACTCCAGTGTTCGCAGGGCTCGATAATAGACTGATTTATAGAACCGTTTCGATTTAATACAAAGCGATGGCAGTGGTCTCCTTCAGGAATTCCTTCATGCTTCCATTTCTAAACGATGAAATGAGTCCAAGCGGCATAAGCTTAGACGTGGAGGTACTCATCCAATTAATTATATAGAAAATCTCTATCACTATGCGTGACCGTCGATTTGACGAAACACAGTCAAACTAACGGCGTCTAAGCTCACAGCCATAAAGTAATAAATGACCAAAATGAAGGAAATAATTTTGGCCTATAAATCTACCCAAACAAAAACGTACATATTCATATTATTTTCACAACGACTTGGACCAGACGAGTAAGCAGTTAGCGTAAGTTGGATCGCTTGTCTTCGTGGATCAATGAATATTCCTATGCAGGGCTTTTCGAAATAGTAACGACCATTGTCATTTCGTTGATTGGGAAATATAAACATGTAGCTGAGGTACCGCGTCGAGTTGACTGAGTAACAGATAAAGGTCAGAGTGAATACAATTCGGAGACGGTTGCCACCGGTAGCCCACGCTATGGCACGATATACTTCGCACATTGAACGCAGCCTCTATATGCGTATCGGAACTTGAAGTCAGAGCATGGCCGTCGTCTTTGCAATGCAAAATAGAAATGATCATCGTAATGAAAACATTCGTACTTCATCTTTGTACTTCAAAAGTGCTCTATATACGAACAGCGTTACGTGGCAAGAAAATTCCGCAGCAACGAAAGCGCTACTATCAGAACGTGAATTGTACCACGACTGAATAGAACTTGAACAATCTATTGTGTCGACGTAACACGTTCAATTACGTGTAATAAAATGCTCGCACTAAATTGATTGGTATCACCTAATAATGTAAATAAGGAGCTTGACTGACTTAAACTTACTGCGTATCGGATCACTGTAATGTATGTAAAAGCTTATCTACTGATAATATTTACATTAAATACAACTTACTCGGAGATATTGCATCAACTTGTCTTTGATCATGGGCGACAGAAATTTTGTTTTCGGCAATCTTCTTTGACATTTCTTTTACCATTACTTCATACCTCTGGGGCCCAGCTGTCGTTGGGGGGTGCGCACCAGTGATCGACGTCACCTGCGATGAACTCCAGTCCCGTCAGGGTCCACGAACTGGGAAAGCTGCGAAGGAATATCATTGCAACCAGCATTATCTGGTATCGACCAAGTCCTCCAGAGAGGCGACCGATGTCTACTGGAAATGGCAGCGTGCCGCCGTCAGCACTGATTTCTGTGAAGCGGCATCGAAATCGGCGTCGGGGTGAACAAAGAAGTATATGTTTAACTGAATTAGGGACTCCATTACCAGTACATAACAAAGAAACAGAGGATGGAGAAAATATCGCCATATGTTTGCAGCCTCCAGCACTATCCAACTGGCTATGCCAGTCACTAATGAAAGACAAACGGATTTTCCTACAAACCAAATATAGGTTCATTAATACAGTTAGAGCATTGGATACGCACAAATCCCACCTGCCCGGTCTCAGATCTCATGGTTTAAATTGATACTGATCCGATCATAACGAATGGCCTAATATTCTGAGTGGCTATCCTTGCTTGTTTTGAACTACAGGGTATACTACCCTTTGCTTTTTATTTCAATATATGCTGGAATCTGATGTTCATTAACAGCTGCTTGAAGTAATACTATTTTCCGATAACAAAGCATAAATAAGCCAGCATTCTGCAGCGTTGTTTGAAGCTCTGCTACTGAAGAATTACCCATTTTCTTCTATAACCTAGGGCAGAGACACTTGCGACATCCCAGACATAACTTCTGCTACCATATCTTAGGCGCGGAGCGCATGCCAAGGCACGCGTGGCGCGAAACTACAAAAGCAAACATTGCCTTGGAATAGTTATGCAACAATAGTGTCTCACGAATATGAACGCAATGTAACCCGATTGAAAATGCGGTCGGTTTTCGATCCTTAAATGGTTACGTAACGTTAACCGAAACCTTAGTTGATTCATTGACGTTAGTTTGATATGAACCGACGGGCAAATCAAACCCGATACATGGGGATAATGCGCCCTATTTTCCACTTCTACTTCAATCCAAATACTAGTCCTATTTTCAGTCGAGCGTCAGCAATGATTCCATATGATGAGCCCATAGTTGAGCTTCGCACACGGAGTTAGAATAACGTTTTGCTGACAGTGCCTAGGTATAATCTGCCTAAGAAAACGGTTCGGATAATTTAGTCAAACTGTGAAGTGACGCTCACTACCTGGCATCTCCCCAAATAGCCTACGCTTGCGAAATTGCAACGATCTATATCAAATATATAGTAATTCAGCGATTAACTCAAATGTATGCCTGACTTGTCCTCATTGAGTATGTAGACCTACTTTAACTTCAACCAATTTCTATCGAATCGATGCACCAAACGCATATCTGTCCACGTTTTCTATTTGTAGTCCCATATTCCTTCTCTCAGCAAATAACAGATCTGAGTTTCGAGTCACATTCTGAGTCACGAGAAACCGTGTCGGCTAATCTGACTGAGTTCTGAAAAAAGAAGACTGAATCTCAGCTATGCTGATAGAAATAGGGAAAAATAATAGATGAGGTATTATCGAAAATTCTATGATTTCGTTCGATTCTTAAGCGTCCGATTGTGGGAATGGTTTATCGTGGAAATATGTTTTATTTGGGTGTTATGCTACTTTAGGCGGTCTTATAAAGCTGGTACACCCCATAGTATAATGACCAGCGGAGTTTTCAATACGGACTACGGTAATATCACCGTTATTATATGCCTATATATAGCCACTTAGTTTCCATTTGTTGAGTTAATTATTAATAGTTCTACTACGAACAAATTTATTTGTCGAGCTTCCTTTAGAGGTAACATTTTTCGCTCAATTGAAGTGGAAAATACGGATCAATGGCGGTAACGAAGAGACAAAATTCTCCTGTGTTGGCTTCATGGTTTTGTAACTTGTATTTCCAACGCAGAATATAGGCTATTTCTATAATTTAAAGTCTATAGAAATGATTTATCATTAAGTCTTTTGTTGTGATTATATAAACAAACAGCCACAAACTAATCAGTCAGGCAACCACTGATGTAATAGGTTGAAGCATCCATAATATTTTTTTTTGTAAAAAAAAATCATGAAATCCCTCTGCACCAACAAAATCGACAGTAATCGGTTATGGTATAACATCCATGAGAGCTTAGGCATTACACACATTGAAAGCCGGATCACATGAATACAAAATTATGGCAAAATAGCTTCTAATAAATAATAACGTAGTTGGTCCTACTGTTAATTATTTTCAGGTCCGACGAACATATTGCGGATAAGTTTCTCATTGCTAGATTGCCAGCGACCGCAGTGTGGCCGTTACCGCAACGTACCTGAGCTCATGATTATTTCCGCCAAAAGTGGCGTCGGTATTTGGGTCTGTTTACTGATATCGACACGTATTTAAAATCTATGAGAATCACAGCGTAAAAACACGATCAGTGAACAAAAGAACAGCGTTGCCCACGATTTTACACAGTTTAATACGTGAGGGATTTTTTTTATCACTCCGACGCGTTACGGGGACTGCTACGAGCGCAGAATGCAAACCTTTAACACGCAGACTAGACTACCGACACATGGTAAACTTTATCTTGGAGACAATGCTATAGTACTGCAGTGCAGATAACCCTCGTTGGCCGGAAGGCCTATTTACTACATAACCGAAGAGGATCATCGTAAATTTTTATGATATGCATGATTGAAATAGCTCTAATAAGGTCACTCTTGAGATACATCTGTATGATACGTCATAGAATGCACACTGTTTATACGCGTACTATTTTTTCCTTCAGTACTAATTACGAGCTATATATATATATATATATATATATATATATATATATGTACATATTACATGAAACTATTTTTGAAATTAGATGTTTTAGTTGTTTTTGATTGACGATAAGTGGGCAATGTATTTCAAAAAATCTTGAAAAATTGTTTATTGCAAAATTTACTTATGCTTTTCTAATTTTTGATTCGAACAATTTTAAACAGAAGCTAAAAAAACTTTTAATGCACTTTTTGGCTTTTCCTTACCGGCAGCTTTTCTGTGTCCACCTGGTAAGGTGTCATAGAATTGAAGACTTTCGTAGAGGCAAAACAGATGCTCGACTACCGGACCGAATTATAAGCATCTGGCGTTTGTATGCATATTTATGTGTAAGTTCGAACCCAATTACACAATCGAATTAAGATAGGCAGCCTACACAAATAAAAAAAAAACTGCCCAGAACGTTCGACCCTGACGCGCGCTAAGAAGGACGGTCATACGACATAACCTAGCTTCACCATTCTCCAGATTCGTTAGAAAAAAATTCCATTCACATCGTCTAATATATCTCCTACATGCTATACCATTTTAGTTACTTATTGTGGGCCCTTTAAAGTAATACCGGCTAAAGTAATACAAGGATTAGACTTCGTTTATAAATTATAATTAGGATATATTGCATTTATCTATATGGACACCAAAGGAACGCCTCCTATGCTATTAGACCAAATGGAAAATTTGAGAAGACACCCAATTCTAAGAACAGAGCAGAAAACACCGAACAGGTCCTTGGCTTGAGAAAATATCTCTACCAGCAAAGGGCTGATTGTTTTTTTGGCTGATTCTCTATTTACTTCTAAGTAGAAACAAAGCCCGTTGATCTCGGCATCCGATCTCAGATTGGGCTGAAAAGTATAAATACGCGGTATAAGTTGATTGAAAGTTACGGCTAGATCTTTGAAAACAACCGCTAACCAATTGATTTGCTATGTCATCCATTTCATCTTTAGCTGATTTGATTACCGACAAGCTTATATCGAAAGCGTTTAATCAATTTCAAAGGTGTTTTTTGATGGACAATGAATCTTCTAAATTTGCTTTTACACGTGGATAGAAGGAAAATGCTTGTAATAAATTCGGGCAGTTAGTACCGACAATGATATAGTGTCTTCAAAGGGGTCTCACGGTAAAATGATAGTTTTAAATTTTATTAAAGATTTAAATGACGAAGTTTTTTAAAATAATGTTGCATAATTTTACCAATGTTGCTTGCAACCAAACGTTTCAACAAACACAAATTGAAAAGACGAGAACATCATTCGTCCGTTAATCTCTTTGAGGAATGCGCGGCCGTTTTTAAATAATGCAGTACAAAATGTGCTCCTTCACGAAAAAAATGCCTAAAAATATGAGTTATCTAAGGCAGTACATCATCACCCTTAGATTGATATCAACATGGATAGAACATAAAACCAATGCGGCGAGTGTTCGGGTACTGATTTTTAATAAGACAACACACTGAAGCCTAACATGCAAGGCCTAATCATTTACTGCCAGCAACGTTGAAACCTCAGTGTCTACTCGTATTGTCCAGGCAAGGGTAGGGCATAGCCATATTCCGAGAGAGTCAACACTGAGTACTGACAAAGTATAAGAGAACTTTGTCTTCTACTGTTGCTATATGCAAGACAGGTAGGCTCATTAGTGTTGCGGTTTCCGGAAGGGCAACTTCTGAAACGCCTGACGCAATGGAAGGCCTGCAAATGTCTTACAACAGCTAAGATTGTAATTTGAAAACGATCGCCTTGATCCTGTCGACATTGGGATCGCCGTAATATGGCCAGAAAGAAAATTGTAGCAACACGTAGTTGTATTAAGATGTTACGCCCACGCAGCAAATAGTGTTTTTTGTTAAAAGCGCATGAATAACGTTCTGTAAAGGAAACTTTGTCCGACCCTGTCGAAGGTTACGCATTCAGAGTTTAGTGTATGAGTCTTAGCGTTCTTCTTAGAGCAGGATGCGTCAACGGAACTCTTATGGTCTTCGAAAAGAAGGGTGGATCGCTTCTTTCCGCTCGTCGTCGCATATTAAAGTTCTTTTCAAGACTGAAAGAAACAGAGAGACATGGCGCGTTCGGTAACTCCTCCTAGTGAGAAAGGGTCTGTAGCCGGCCAGTAATCACCACGCTCACCAGTGGGAGCTAAGGGTTTGTGGAAGTGTTTCGCTTACACATTATTTTATTAACAGAAATATCTCCTGCTTGAACGCACACTTTAGCTCCTGGCTAGACGCAATCCGCCCGTCCCGTACACAACGTTAGGTTAGGCTGACGTTTCACATCTAGCGCTACCTCCGCTTCTGCGATCCAGTTCGATTCGTTATCTATGGACCATAGTGCGACCCATTCGTCACGCTTTACTGAGCCTTAAAGGCGTTGGAACTCTGCGACGATATAATTTTTGTGGGTCGTGTTTATGGCTAGGCTCGGTCCTTGGAACTTACCATGTATAAAAACATATTCGGTGCAGTAAGCCTCAAGAGGCTCACCAGGCGAGTGATAGAGCGCACCGAACGCTCAACAACGGTGCGTTTAGTCATACCCACTATCGATACATTAGTTGGTTCTTAGGATAAGAGTGAGGCGGCTGTGCTCGCGTACGATGCGGCTAATTTGGCCAAGTTCCCAATTTTTGACAAGCAGCTAGAACCCATAGGATTTTTATCCAAGGCTACATTTTAGTTGAGTTGGATGAAAAGGCTGACTTCTATTTTTTGCAAGTCAAGGGCGTTGCGGAACAGCTGAGGTGCAGCAGGCCTTCGAACCTCATTCGGAGCAATGTCTAAGCTAAGAATTTTCATCCTAATAACGATAGATGTAACGTGGTGATTCCAGAAGGCGGAACCAAGTTCCGTTTAGCGCAACAGTACCTGCTGTTCGGGAAGCACACAAGTAATAAGCTAAACTTCGATAATAGGGTCTAAGGGGTAATCAAAAAAGTTGACATGAAGCTCATTACATTCCAGGTTTCCTTAACGCGTTAAAATACAACTACAATATATATATATATATATATATATATAAATTGGTCCCTTCAAATTGGTAATGGATCGACGGTAAAAGGATCACTTGGCTATCATTATTTAGAAGAAGGTCGTAGATTTTGGTTCCTGTTTTTGCAATGTTACATAGTAAAAATGTAGTGTGAGATTTTCTGAGACACCTTATTTTTTCTACCTATTATGCAGTAATTTATGTATATGAACAAGGAAAACGCGTTTTGTCATAAATGTAAATTACTACCCATTTCGGCGATGAGCCGCCACGAACAGCTTAAACAATAACGATCTAGTTTATCTTGATTAGCGAATGCACATCGTTTCACGCCGCCAAATAAAGTAAATGATCATTCGTTATCGCCAAAAAAGATATCGTTCGAAGAAAATGTATCAGTCAGAGCAGGTGAGCGTTTCTCGTTGTTGAAGTTTCCTTTGTGACATGTTGATGTCAGCTGGACGAGCGACCTATTCCGTAGAACCCGCTACTTTTTGAAAATTTACAATTGCGCATGTGTCCACACAAAACAATAGCGGTTTGTAGCACTGTGAAAGTTCAGCTAAAAATCGTTGCGCTGACAATAGACCCTCTATATATACACTTCACGGCGTGCCAGTAGGGACGGAACACAATAACTCTATTGCTCCATAAACAACTTTAACAAGATTAAGCCGAAGGCGTTCACCTGCTTTATATAGGAGCGTGTGTTTTATAATTCACCCCATATGTACGACCGAAGCTAGCTGAAATTGCTCATACCCGAGACATCTTCACAGAATGAAAACGTTTCATACTAACAAACAACACACACTTACATCCGCTGCCGATACTAGTACATACAATACGTTTTTTGCGGTATAAAATTTTTTTATTAGAAATATATTCTATTGTGTTTTTGTGAAGTGGTGCATTCAGATCGACGATGAGATAGTAGGCGATAAATTATAACTCAATATTCAGATGCACATTTGAAAGATGTTCAAAGGTTGCCTAAGCGTCTTTGATTTAGGAAACAGTAAGCACAATCCTGTTCTGTATTTTCGATCAGCCATCAAAGGAAGCCTGCAATCAGGTATAACGAACCTTGTGCTTGAAATGATCCATTAAAGTTAAACAACTTACCTACAAGAACCGCTTCCTTTTCCAATTGTAAACCCATGTAGAAGTGTCATTACAACTAAATACACAAATAAATCAATGTCGAAAACACACATCCGTAAACGATTGGATGGAGAAAAAAAAAAACTATTTAGATATGGTAGAGAGGTTAGACGGAGTCGTTGATACGGATTAAAGCTGAAATATATTTGTTCATCTTTCGTCCAGGGAAATTTGTGAAAATAACTGTCAAAGTAAGACTCTTTGGTGTGATTCGTAGAAGCTGCTTCTAGTTAGGTTCTTAAAATTCAAGCCCAACCTTAGGGTAGCTAGTTATCTCTACTAAACAAATCTGTGCGAAAATTGTTTCGTTTTACGTAAATCGTAAAGAATTAGATTTAATGAAGGTAATTTTATTTTTTTGTCTTTTTTTTTTTTGTTTTTTTTATTCTTCTAGCACGGCACTAGTGAAGAACAAATGACGAGTGAAGGACGAACTATAATTAGCCTCTCACGCACGGTTATCAACATGATTAGATTCAAAATGATTAATTATATATCGTCTATGAGTCATTTGACTTTTTCATCAACTATCGTTATTGAAGTTGAGTTCGGACTGTTCTCAGGTACTGTCTTTCTTTCCAGAACCCTCTTACGCTAGAACTAGTGGGCTAGATTAAACACCGTTTTTTCCGCCGTGAATGGTCATCGCCGTCAAGCGATACCTTTTCTCCTGAATGGAAGATACGTGTCGCGCCGTGACCGAGGGGAGACCATATTCGCGTGCAACTGCGGCACCTAACAAAGAAATGAAAAGTACCGTTAATATGATAACTTGCATGAAAATAGGTCGCTCCGTAGTCTTCTAACGTCCCACCTCTAACGCCACACATGCATCTCAGGTAGCTGTTTTCTAGAAATTACCATAATAATAGTTAATGAACGTTTTGAAAACGACTGATACAAACGAAAAAGATTGATATGAATTGTTGGTTACCATGTGAGATAAGAACGCCAAGCTTCATTACAATTCCACTGATCAAAGGGAAATAGGGGCTCCATCCGATATCTGTTGCGTATGCGATTCGCCCCGTAATCATACTAATTCAGCTTGCAAATCGTGCTTGTTTTGTAAATAATGGTAAGGTCCGTAGTACTAGCGACGCTCCTCCCCTTTACGATCCTGTCAAAACCTAAACCTAGCAATACTCCATAACCTGAATTTCGCTTCCTAATTGCTTTAAACAATTTTTCTATTCCTAATATTTAAAATACCGGATAATAGTTATATATTCCAAGATTTTAATAAGAGAAGTCTTTTACCCCGATTTCCCCTTGCCCTTTCAATAAAAACGCTTTTCTGATTTCTTTACTCCCATTCTTGCCCTTTAAAATTCCAGTAGTATGACTAGGTTTTTATCGTAAGCCAAAGATTATTGCGTTTTTTTTTTTAATTCAGATGTATTCACTTTATTAACCCCTGTTAATAAAGAGCTTTTGAATTCAATATGTTAGATTGGATCAGGCTTAATTGGAACCGCTTAACGAAATTGTGCTTCATGGAACTCCGGTGTGCACTGCTAAGTCACTACAGTTACTTACTTTTTTTTTTTTTTCGGTTTTTGTAGTTCTTGTAGTCAAACAATATTATCACTTTCGTACCTCATAGCCTTAAACACGGTCTGTTCGTATCTGAGTCTTTTACTGATAGTGAAAAAAACTTTTAGTTAATGCGTGTATATAACATGGGTCTGCTCATTAGGTTGTCGTAAGAAGAACTTGTTTTTATTGCGTACTTTTCTCGAAAGCGTATCATAAACTTTTTAGAGGTGTAAGGGCTATGATAATTACTTGAATAATATACAAGGGCTTGCAAGCGCTATTTCCTGCATCTTATGAAGGAGTATAAAAACACAGCTACCGCCTTCAAGTCGTGTTCATTAAATTATTAGAAATCTCTGCGGTTATGGAAGTTTTGTCATGACTGGTTTGCCTCTATTCTAATACACAGTAGATGGGACAATCTGAAAAGTCTTTGGCCTTTTAAGAAAGACTATGTTCGCCGAGGATCTGTGGAGCCATGTATATGGGAGACGTCATTGTAGATAGACACATCCCTTTTACCCTCTGGATGAGGTGAGCATCCTTAAAACGTGGGCTGAAGCCATTATTTGGTCTTTTGATACAGGAATGCCCGTCATGGAACGAGCTCCAGGTGGCAACCCGTTTATCGTTTTGCGATTTATCTATCAAAAGAACAAGAGATGGAAAAATAGCTACAGTTCTTGCCGTTTCTGATTCAGATCAGACGGATCTGCACATATCAAAACGTATGCCAAATTCCATTCGTATTGCTCTAATGTTAATAAAAGCGCAACGTGGCGAGTACTGTGATATGAATATAAAATAACTCCCTGTAATGAAATAAATGTATCGGCTATTGTTACAACTTATCAGAACTCTGACAGATATGATTAGATTGATCGGACACCCTATACCGAAACAAGCGGTGGTTGGGCTATGTGCTCTGGGTAAATATCACAGGCGCAGGCTTTACATACGTTTTTCATCCAATTCACAGCTTGCACAGTGAGTCGTGGATTCCTAAACTGGAGATAAAGGAAGCGCAGATTCATTCGTGTAAACTGGGCGCTTCGTCCACCCAGGAAGATAATATGCTCATACAGATCAAAGCCTGGAAGACAATGGCACATATCCTTTTTTGTCCTAGTTTTTCAATTTGTATAGCACACTCGCAACGATTAGCGTCGGTCAGATTACGTATCAATGAGATCAATCATCTCCTCCGGTGTTAAATAAAACAATGGATCTTCTTCAGGAATGCGATCTTCCTTCATCATACGTCGAGCCACAGTTCATATCAGAGAGATATCAGAGAGCTTTTGTTATTTAGCTGAGAATATATGTTACATGGGGTTATCGCTGCCTCCGTCTTAACATTTAACGGCGTTTTTTGAAGGTGATGCGCGCAATAGGTTCTTTGATGCTCGATGGCGACCCGTGATTAAATCTTCGCCAACCACTTATAGATCACTATTGTATAGGGAGCCCAAAAGCTTGGACGATAATGTGTTAGTTGGGTTTATATTTATGCGTAAACTTGTTCAAGGTAATTTCACTTGGGTTGTTTATATATAAATTTAAGCTGTGCGACACGTCCAACCTATTGTTCGAAAGTCAAGTCGAATATGGTGATCTGCTTTTATCAACAAGGATTTACCTCTCCCACGAAGAGCGATTCCCGGATGAAAATGGATCACAGCCTCATCAACCTCTTTACGAGCCCTATAATTTCTGTACATACTATTTTCCATGTTCCAGTAGTAGATTCGACGCATCGACTGTGATACTCCGACGCCAACGATGTCGTTACAAGGTGCCACAAGGACACCAAAATCGGAAAAAAAAACACGATTTGTTCAGTATAGTGGACACAGGCTAACTTAGATACAGATTTACTTCGTCATCACAGGTACGATCTCTCGTTCCAATATGTCGGATGCCATAAATAACGTACATTTGATATCTGTGTGGTCTAATAATTATCAATCAATCAGCATTTATTATACTTTTCCAGTTAGAAGAACGGCGAAAATCCTTAACAAAATTGGTAGTCGATTACCCATTTTAGTCCTGATAAAGAAAGGCAGTGTATACTTGTGCATATATTTATTGATGTATGGGTCAAATTCGATTCAGTTGAAGGCTTTCAGTCTCCGACCCACTTTCGGGTTTAGAGTGCCTCACTCTTGCACGACACTACCAAGGAAGTCATATACCTTTCGGTCGGTCCCGTAGCCCGGCAACGCTCGACCGTGTCTAACCAGTCCAGTCAATTAGTCAGCCTACATCACCATATTACCAATTTACTTCGATATGTGCCAATATGGCAAAAAGGGCCACATTGTTCACTGAACCGTACGTGATTGCCTCTACGTGTACGTCGCCCGTCTGCAAAAATAGAGAGCGTGCCCTTATGAAAATGTTGCTTCGTTATGCGTGAAAACGAATGAAAATATGGACAAAAATACTAAAACGTACAGAAAAATCTATTTTTGATACATTTGTCAAACGTGCCAGCATAAGCCAGCTAAAATCAGATCTAAAAATATGCACATGTCGTACAACAGTGAAGCGAAAATCATTTTATTTAGACGTTCACATTAATGCGGTCTTTTTAACTTGGAAGATGAAACTATCAGTAACTAATTGTTATGATGCAAGCATCTACGTTTGCACGTAGAGGAAAAGCCAACGTGTGCTGTGCAATGGGTAAACGAACTACTGGCACGTTTTACAGCAACGTTTTCGTCCTATACAAAAGCACCTAGGTCATATTAGTTGTTGCATCATAACGATACACCGAGAGCAGGCCGAAACAAAGACTCGACGAAAACAGCATCACAGTAAGATGAGGTAACGTTAATAAAGCGTAATAAAAAAGCGTTGTACTCACGATCGCCATTACTTCCGGGTGCCGGAGAGCTTCGACAAGCAGTTCCTTTACTGTAGCACAATCAGAAACGTGAGAGCAATGCCCATTCGCAACGCGATCGGAACTTTCGAGTGCACCGGCAGTCTGCCATATTTTAACGGCGCGCGCTACAATCGGACAGCAACGGACCAAACGGGGACCTGGTGAGCTACCTTCCACTCAATAGCATACATACATACATACATGCATGCATGCATACATGCACGATTTGATACAAAGTACGTCGTGCAAAGCGCTAAGTCCTACCATTTTACTAGTAACACGTGCGTTGTTTTGATACAGATGGTGCTTGACAAGTACACCTGATTAGTGCATTTTACAGTAGAAATCAGCTCTGTATGGGATAAAATGCGTTTGTTAAATCCAGCAAGCGGAAAGGAAAACTTCTAACATGTGTAGTCTCACCTTGCACACGTATTTCCTTTTATCATCGTTGCTTTTGATTACTATATTTGTCGTCGACGAACCGTCCCGACATAGAGAATGATATTATGTCGTCTTTAGTAGTATCTCCAATTCCATGTAATTTACACAGTCGAGAAAAGTTTCTTTGTTTTTCAATTTATAGAAGTCAGGTTTCTTTAGTTTTTGACACACACTAGTTTTCGACTTAAGCCGGAGATCGCTTGCAAAGAACAGCTTGCTTTGGTAAGTTTGCTCAACTTCGTTTGAGTCAACCCTGAAATCGTAAATTGATTTGAGCCAGACGGAAAATGTCATGAAAAAAATACTGGCTATGATGTGTAAGAAATACTTTATATCTCACAAAAGGACATGTTCCGACATCTTGGCCCTTTGCCTGAGCTTCCATTCGCTGCTTGACGAAAATTGAAATGAAAAAAAAAAAGCTTGTCAAATGTTCCTTTTATCATTATATGCCTACTAGAGGAATCGGCGGTACACTATTTGCATTTCGTATTTCAAGCAACTGGTATCGATCGAGTAATCTCTCTACAACAGAGACAAGGGAAATATAGCAAGTAGTTCAAAGGCTAGGAACAGTGTGTGAGTGTTAGCTGAGGCAGTAATTGAAACAACATCAAGCTCCATTGATACCCTATAAAAACTACTCTGTGTTAAAACGTAGGTGATAATCCTGAATCGTACCCAATGCTAGCTTTCGATAAAGTATCAAATTCAGCTACAAGTCCGCTGTTATTTTCATAAAAAAAAAATTCAAATTTTTCAGCGATGTTATCAACGGATGTCGCTAGCCGAGCTTGCAGGATGAACAGCTTGCCCTGTTATAAATAATCTACTGTTAAATATAATACGCTGCTGCGAATAGAAAATGGTTATCATATTAGTGAAACTATTGAAGGATAGGCGTGTTTGACCTAGCCTCAAACTCTTTTGCTTGCTTTATGTGCCTTTGTGTGCAGATAGGCTTTCTATCCGAAACAAATTTGCATCGTTGGCTAGATCACTGGTTTTGCAACATCGTCGGTCAGTGTACACACTCTTAGTTTATCAAGATAATTTTTTCGCAAAGAACTATGGCATCTTTCTTAGCTCATAGGAGGCCCATTCAATGTCCATTGAGTTAGCATACTCATTTTTTAGGCCTAGGTGCGCAACCTGGTCATCGTTCTTTCTGTTGAGCGATCTATTACTTCTGATCTTCTGTACCATCTCCGCTTTCTATGGACACGATGAAGACAAGTGAAGTAATTGGTAAGTGTATTATTACATGTGCCACTGTGTATCAGCACATCTTTCTTAGATTTCACACAAAGTTTGGCTTACATAATTCATAATTTATTATATCTATTACATATTCTATTAGTAGAATTTCTTGTATATTTGCGTTTCTATTAAGTATGCGTAAATTCGTATCCATTGATCTGCCTGACTTTCACTCGTAAGATAATTAATGCTTTGATTCCGTACCAAAACATGCTGCGGTCCCGTCAGTCAGTGGATCGTGGATGTTTACCTTTTAATAAAGTCTCTTGGTGTCCAGGTTAATAGATTTGATCTTCAACAGGCCATTTACACTTATGCTGACGATGTACGTATCTGAATCGGCAATTGCCGACCCGACCCTCTGTAAAAAGCGTATTAGATATTTAATTAACTTTTTCATTCGCAAGTTTCCTTTTTATTAGTGACTGAAGGCAATCCTGAGCACTTCTTCTCGGAAAGTTTCCTAACTGTAGACATTTAATATAGTATCAGACTGTTGCGGGTTGTGAAATTGAGTAACTTCTAACTGGTGGGGCTAGAATGACTTTTTAATATGTGTTAGAACTAATTTCCCTTACTTTTTGGAAGGTTGTTTTAGCGCTCTGGGGACTTCTGCCGCCATAGGACGACTATTCGCGTTCTCCTATGTAGTTTCTCTATTTATGACGCCTTGAAGTAGATCAACAAGTTATTCACTTAAGGTACAGGAAGCCCTGTAATCATATGGACTTAGATCTGGGGAATAAACTGGTTTATTTTTTTTTGCTCAATTAAGCAAGTAACTAGGGTATAGCAAATCTGCATTCACTCTTTCATTTTCGGCAAGTATTTCTGCGGTGGCAGGTGCCTCTGATATAAATTGCAGGTACTATTATTACCTTACGTAAGTTCTGCAACTTGCACGTGGAATATACCGTACGGATTTCCAGCCTGCCTAAAGTCAATTCGTGGCAGATATATTTTTCGCTCAGTTTCCCTATTTTCAGTGTTAATATTATAATTCTGAGGCGCTTGTCATCGAAGACGCCAGTTTTGGCAGAGACAATCCTTAGACTGCAAGCTCAGCCCTTGTGCAAAGCTTTCCTGTACTTTATATCGACTTTGCCGCTGCTCTTTAACATCACAATTTCCATTCTTCAAACGTTTACACTACTCACTGTGCTTTCGATAAAGGTCTATTTGCCTACCGCGTTCATCAATCTTCGATGAAGCATTGTGGCCTTCAGTGAACTGATGAAGATCCGGTTAAATTTACGTTAGCAGAAATGAGTTCAAAGGACTTGTAGTTCCGACATTAAAAAGCCAAAAGTCTCGTAACTTCGTGTCAGAAGTGACATGTTACATGCGTACAATTCTGCAGACTAATCGTATTATATAGGAGCTTCTCCGAGTCCGAAGTCCGTTGATATGGCTCAGAAGTCAAATCGATTGATACTGGCTCGGCATCATCGGTATATCAAGGGACCATTCATTGCTAATGCCATTAATGAATGCACCTGATAAATTAATACTTTAACATACAGACCTATGAGGAGGTCGATGTGAAAGGCTTTCTTATGCTACACAATAATTTTGGGTATTTTTTGGATCTCATGCAGACCACAGTATCTATGTGTATTTAGCATTTGTAACGTTACCATGGTAATCACTGCATCGAGTATTGCCTCAAAGCGGCAAGGTACCATTGACCATTTGATGGATAACGATGAATAAGCGTGCGTAAATTTTATATACCTTTTGCAGATTCTCCACAGAAATCAAAAGCAGTTCATTGATTACATTGCACGGACGATACGCGGTCGTTGTCACGCAGACGCCTTGAGAAACTGAGCTAAACAATACCGAATTGGAATACCATTAAGTTGATCCAATTTTAAGTTAATTATTGTCCTAATGTGTGTTTGCGTGATGTAATAACGTTATTGATTAAATAAATATTTCCATTATGCTACTGTTAGACCTTGCTTTAAACAGCCGGCTCCCGTCGCAAACTGAATAGTATGTACGTTTCTTGTCTGGGTTCAAACCTGTGTCACCCTATGCGCTCCTACGAGAATAAGCGAACAGTTGTCTGTTACACACTTGGATAAATCGAAATCATCTCAACACTGGAAATTGGGTTATTGCGTCGTAAATTCAAAGGGACGCGCGACGAAATGGGACCTCTCAAGAAAAAGCGGCCTCTGTTTTGCTGTATAGAGCTGCTATTGAATTGCAAAGAAGCTCTAGAGCTCTCTAGAGCGTTCGCTTGACTAGCTAGAATGTATATACGATTTTTCCATACTATATGGTTCATCCCTGTCTGTTGTGTAGAGCTAAATTCCAACTTAATTAAATTGCAGTATATATTGATCTTCCTGCATCCTGTATGCCTTCCACAAAAAAAAAACAAACAAAGATTTTTAGCTAAATTCTTCAATTATATAATTTCAGCATATGTATGCTTCTCTGACAAGTGTAACATATATCGATATAAATACCATAACTGGATAGTTGTGGGCGATATTTGTCAGTACGGCTAAACTGCTTCCTCCGCCTCCAGTGAGAGACCCACTTTGACAAACAGAGTTAGTTAACGATAGGACGTGCCTTTTACGCGAGCGCATCCTCTTCGGCGTGGCGAGTTAATGGACATATGATGGTATGCGAGGATTTCCGTCAATTTCAAGGGACGAGACGCTTCATACACATCAGCGGGATATAAGAAAAGCACCCCAAAGATTTGATTCTAGGCTATACGTAATTTGGCACCCGATAAGCCAAAGTGGCAACGGGCAACGTCATCATTGCGCTATCTTTGAAAGCTTTATATCATCATAAAAATTGTCAAGCAATAATGTTATTGCGCTAATAAACTTCAAAATATATCCTATGAGTAATTTTTGGCGTATACTCTCGTATCTGTACCACCCGCCAGCGCAACGCTCACTCCAGGTGATCCCATCCACTGATGATTTCAATAGTAATTCCAGTGAGCGTTTTTTTGCAGTATGCGATAATTTAGATATCTTTGAATGAGTCTGCGAGGAACCGAAGCGTATATGAATTTATATGTTACTAAAAGTTGACGTGAGATTTACTTACTAGTTTCTGCTCGTAGTTGATTCCAATGATCGATTTCACCCAAGGCAATGCTGCCGCAGTGTCGGGTAGTTAAAATGTGCAGACAACAACCTCGGACTTATGCCGCTAACTGCGACCTAGGCCATTCTGAAGTTCATGTCCTTTACACATCGTCTGGATCGTACTCTGCAGCATATCATAGCTCGTTTGATTGACGCTATAAAATAAATTCAGAAATTGCCGTTTAATTACGTGCAGTGTATTTGGTATACGATGTACGATTTTCTTTTACCTATAGTGGCCGTTCAATTAACAACTATAACGAATATATATATAGATATCTCGTTCAGTGTAAATGTTCATCTTCTAGATAAAAGGAGCGTCGGATGATAAATGAAAGCAATACGTTCCCTGTTACCTTTGTATAACCTGTGATCTTCACCGAACCTTCCGCGGTGTCCCTAGAGGTATAGCTCTATCCCTTTAACTTCTAAAAGCACTTTTCCTGTCGTTGAGGGTACAGATCTAGCTGTTTCGGCTAGATTCTGGCTGTGTCCATTTAATATGCCAGAAAGTCGCCATCGTGATCGGTGCAGCCATGGACGAAATTTCCGCTATAATAATGCTTACGAAAATCGCAGTGTTGCTTTTGTCCAGTCAATGACCATATTCCTTACAATAATAACAACGTTGTCCCTATATATTGAACAACTGATATAAAGAGAAAAAGCCATATTATAGTTAGAGAGAAACACTTAGTAAAGCTCATTCTCAAACTTATCATCAAATAGAAGACAAAAATAGTAAAATTACAGTAACACAGTAGCACATGGTCAGTTTTAGAATTTGATAACTAAGGTATAAAATTTATTCGCTGCCCAAGAAGTCCAGCATTACCGACGTTGTCTCTAGGCTTATATCAATCTAGATAGTAAACTACTAAGGTCTTTGTACACGAAACGTTTGGCATAAAGTACTGGATTGATAGGTTATACATATTGTCAGCTTACATGAAAATGGCTGGGAGACGCACAGGATCTCCATAGCCTCAAAGTGGTTTAACTACTCCATTGAATGAAATCCTCCACCTGAGCTGTATGGGCTCCATGCGAAGACTTCCAGCCGAAAAATATTCGTTTGAAGAACGATCGACCACGATACCGTTCGCTTTTGAAGTCCACGAATTACCGGGTCCTCGTTCTACCCGAACAGTAAACGACACGCTTGCCAAACCTTTTAACTGATCGATCGTATAATATCAAAAACAAAGAAAATGATAAAAACCTTACATATATGAATACATATTCGGTGAACAGTAACATATTTAGCCTATGTCTTCCTGAAATGGGCAAATTGCATCAAAATTTGGTCGGTGATTTGATACGTGTAAAGGTAAATATATATACACCGTAGAGCATATACCTTACAATGGCCGACAATTTTAATAAGATACTATTAGAAGTATTTCTAACGTAACGTATGCTAATCTCAGCTTCAACTCTATTGGTTGTTAGAAAAGACAACTATAACATTTCATGCATGGCACGCGTTTGTTTTACACAGTGTACTAACACTCACTTCTAGCATCAAGTAACATAGGGGAGGGCTTTATATAACCCTACAAGTTGGCGTTATATGGGGTTTCATGCGAAAAACTCCTGTGGTTATGGCTAGACTAACTGACAAGTTCGACAAGATTACGGTTCGTTTATAAGATTCTCCTGCGGGTCGTAAAGCCGGCTTTCGAACGTCCCTTCTCGTACTGGCAAATCTACGAGCTGCCTCAAGTTCAAGAAGTAAAAAGGAATTGTAACCAGGAGTGTACCGCTCCTCTTTGTCAACTTGAGTGCGTTGATGCATGATTATCATGGCTATGTAGGATACTGGTATCATAAAAAAGGTATAATATATAAAACCCATGGCTGTGAATATTGTAACATAACGTAACGCGTCGGCATTACTGTTCTGCTAAACGACGTGTCCTGCCAATCAAATCGCCCAGTTTATTTCAGTGTCAATCATCATGCTGTCATATAACGGACTACCTAATGTGATTAGAAGGCCAGAAGAGCTCTCTATTGCAGAATCAAGGCAATACCTTGGTATTAACTGGGTCAAGAGTTAACCCTTTCAAGTGATACTTAAAAGTCAGAGAGAACATCCCTCAAACCTTCTAATTGCAAAAGAAAAAATAACAGAACAATGTGCAGTCCCATTGTCCACAACCAAACCGCTATATGCCCATCCGTTTCAGGTGTTTCCTATGCCTTGAATTTCCTATTTCACGGAACGCGTTCAACTTTCGTTTACATCTCGATTGGCCAACCAACACTATTTCACAGTAAATATGGAACTGTAGTACATTGTCTCGCTGCTTTCAAGTCCAACGCGATTCGACTGCATTGGGCTTCATAGCCGCGGGACGCTGTCCTTTGTAGAGTAACGGTCTAACGCCCAAGAATCCTTTAAGTCATTGCTATCGCTGGCCTAGCTGTAGTGGATAATGATCTAATTTTCAACATTATGCGCTTATGTCTCTTATATTAAGGTCAAGTGGTTATACAGTTAAGGCCAGAGATGCTAGTACCCGTTTGATGCAGCTATACAAGTCACATGGTTATCGTTGAAGATTGCCCAAAACATTCTGTTCAGTCGAAAAATATGCTTGAAGTAGAAAAGCGTATCAGATGGAATAGCTTTCAGGCCCCTTTCCTTATATGAAAGAAATTCATGTTGAGGCCTTGGAGACGACAACACTTAGCATCTAGGTTTCGTACTGGCTGAAAAATTATGATTTTACCCGTTCCGCCATGTATCTAACCGGTTTCGTCGCAAATGAGCCCCAATGAGTCAACGATAAAAAGTGCCGGATCTATGTGGTGCGCCAGTCAGGGGCGTGCAATGGAATGCTCGTTACGTGCAATTGCGTAAACTATTCCAAAATAGTTTGCTATATTGAACTGCGTAGGATAAATAGAGCTATATGAAAAGTAGTCAATTGAAAATTGCTTGTGCTATAATTTAATCAGTAATAAAATTTATAGTTTCGTAGTTTCTATGCTTAAGCAGACGATTTTAGTGAAACAAGTGTCAAAACGTGGCAAAACCCTTAAATGATAAGTATGGCCGAAACAGGAACTCCGTCAGAATGACCTTCATTAGTCTAAAGATCGTTGATTTGTCTTATGTATTTTTCAAACATTACATTATAAGCCGAATTGCATGCTTAGTGCTAAGCGAAAACTTGCTAAACGTTGATAGCTTGCTATGAAAGCTGTGCAGCAAACAGAATCCTATGCGTCTTCATTACACTCTATTTAGGACACGAATTTATGTGCCAAATGTATAACTTGTTTTTATAAGGCAGGCCTGAAGCACCACACACAACAATGTCCTTGGGCCATGAAAAACTCCACAAACGTACACACGCCCCCTATTTCTCGCAACGACCCCGACAGAGTACCCCGTATTCTACCCAGCCTGACCATCTCTTTTCGGATTCAAAGAAGACCAAAGGATGATGACTTGTGTGATCTTTGAAGAGCAGTAGGATAAATAGATGGTTCGAGAAGTGAATCACAATAGAAAGGCATTTTTAAAAAATCTACAATTTACGAACGCATTTCTGAGCATTTTCGATTCAATATTGAGGTTAAACGGGATTGTTTTTGGCGTTACACGTGTAGCTTCTCTGGCACGTCCGTTTGCGTCAAGCGCTCAAGTATAGGCCTAATAGGTAGCTGCCATCAGTGGTAACAAATGACCTTTACTTAATATGGCTTACTGACCTTTGTCAATTGTGAGTGAGTCACCTTGTCCAGCATACATACGGGCATTTACCAATACGTTCCCGGGACTGTATTATATCAGCGTTAAAACGTACTTGGAGGCCAGTGGCATTTAAAAGTAGGACACAGGTTACTGAATGAGCAATGCCGTTGCGACACGGTTGAACGAAACTGAATAAAAAATGTCCGATTTATCAAAGTGCATTAAAATTGATACTTAAGCATTATCTATATGCTTTCATTTTAACAATATCCAATGCGGTTCAGTAGAAAGCCCAATAAATTTGTCAAGAAGATAAATCAACTATACGCGCTGCTTATTTAGCGGCTAGACAAAATAATGTAGTTATTGTTCATTGAAAGGAAGGTGGGGTACTCATCTATTCGAAGGTCTGGTTAAGCAACTGGGCTGTTCTTTGAGAGTTTCCAAACTATCTGTTTCGTGTACTTATTTGCTACGTTATGGTTTTTAAATACAGCATTGACCATAGTGGGTTTAGACTCGTGCTGGAGCCGGGGTACAAATGCTTCGTACTATTAAAATCAGGTCTAAGAATTTGTCATGAATGATTCCAACTTTACTTGCTACTTATTTTCTAGCATCGTGCGTTCTAAATTGTTGAATCCGTGTAGAACGGTTACCAAGCTAAAAAATTCTGCTTACAAAGTACAGATATCGACGAAACGGTACGAATAGGTGACAGGCACACTTTCGGGTCATATCGGCTTCCGCTGCTGTCGCTGCGTTAAAGAGCTTCATCAATTACTATGCAAGTGACACGTCACGAAAACAACTTAAGGGCTTTATTTACTTTGTTTATTGGAAAAATGCTGACAATAATAAAAATTACACTACCCCCTCTCCCTTTCCCTCTCCCTCTCTTCCCGCTAAATGGTTTGACGGATATCTTAATAGGAGATCATTTCGAAAAGATTATTTGAAACTGAAATACAAATGTTCCGGTTATTGTCTATTAACCGAGTTTGTTTTTTCGTATGAGTGTTTCTACGAATGAAAATGCAGTTAGTCAATTCGCGTTATTTTAGCAAAACACTATTGAGCAAATAGCTGCTTTTACTCAATCGAGTCACTGCAATTTATAGTATCCCATTTTCAATATATACATTGACTCTGTGAAGATAACGAAAAAATTTACCTGCCATTATCGAGTCTGCTTGTTAGATGTAAATTGTCTCTGTGATTAGCATTGTTGTTGTTGTTGTTGTTGCGTGCCGGGGTAGGAAGCGTAGCCTGGCACCTTCGCGGATATGGAAGGCCTCACCCTTCGGTTACTTAAACAAGATGAGCTTGCATTGATCCCTAGCTTTTGGAAGGAGTCTGTTGGCGTTCCAGTGGAGCTGAGGTTTATTAAAAGATGGTACCAACTGGATCCGGAAGGGTTCCGAGTGGCAGTGGATAGCAAAAACCGTATTCTCGGTATGGCGACCGTGGTGCGTCAAAGTGACACCCTTTACGTGATGGGCTACATGGGTGTGGATAAAGATTACCGTGGCAAAGGTATAGCAAAGCAGCTGCTCGAAAATCTGGTAGCTCGTAAACCTGGAGCCAACTACGCTCTAAACGCGAGCGCTGACAAGCTTGGCATCTACCTTCGTCGAGGATTCAAAGTCGCTGAGGACAGTTATGGCTATGCATATGTAGGGAAGTTTACGGTAGAGCCTGAGAAGAAATCACCACCAGGCGGTTTAGAGCTTATTCAAATTAAGATGGGAAGCTCGCATCTCGCTGACTTGGTGGCTTATGACAAAGAGGTTGCTGGATTTCAGCGGAACGTCGAGCTGCTCCAACTAAGTGATCCCACTGCAATCGTTCTAGCTGTCAAGCAGAAGGGAAAGATCGTGGCATATGGGAAGATCCAGCACTATCTTCTTGGTGGTGCCTGGCTAGGGCCGCTGTATGCTGATGATGTGGACATAGCAAAGTACCTTGTGGAAGCCCTAATGCGACACTTTGAGAGCCAAAGATGTGTCTTTCTATTTACAATACTTAGTGAACAAGCCCGCCCGATCGCCCAGGCACTTAACATGATGCTTGCTGATAAGATCTCAAGATGCTATATGAAGCTAGAGGCTGAATATCTTCCAGCGCATAAACTGCAAAAAGTATACTCATTTGATGATCCTGGCTTTGCGTTTTTATAAATCACTTGAAAATACAAAATCAGATCCAAAAGGGTTCCCCAAAATTCTGCTTATAAAACTGATGCGAGCAGTCAGTGTTAAATAAAATTAATAGCTTATGAGACTGACGTGAGCAGTTAGTGTTAAATAAAATTATTTTCACAGCATTGAAAATCATGCTTGTGGTCCAGCTTATGGTATCTGCTGAAAGCTGGGGTTTTGAGCAGAGCTGGCCAACTGATTACAGCATCGGTTAAGTTTAAAAGACTTGGCACTTAATGAAGTCTTTTAAGCTTATACGCCCAATCAAGAAATGATAATTTTGTTTTAGGTTTGTACTATCCTTTAGGTTTGTACTTACTGGAAGATTAAATTGGTCAATAGATTTGTGGCAGATGGCCGTTATGAAGCCAAACCCGATTAATTTATAAATCTGTGTAATAGTGCACACAATTGTTCGACTAGTCGTTACTTAATAAGCAAAGTTTCGTCGCATTTTAAAGGAGAGCTTGAGGAAACAAGATAAACAAATTTTTTTTGAATCTCAATTTCTGAATACGAATTTACTGGCCAGATATCGTAGTCTTTGGGATGGCTTTAATAGTTGAACTGTTGTTTAAACCCCCTCACAACAATATGATATCCATTAATGAACTCGAGTCTCGGAAATAGCCATAACTAAACAATTAATGTAAACAGCAATTTTCTAAGTTACTCAACAATTTATGCTAGCTCCTCGGCGGAACGCACGTACTAATTTCGAAATTTAAGGTACATTTTTCTCCCAAGTCAAATGATGCTGGCTAAAGGTCTTAGCGTACTTGCGACCGTGGTAGTCATATCGAATGCTTAGTTTTCTAAACATTGATAAGATCTGACCTTGAGAAAAATCAGAGTTCGATTATTGCTAAGCGATCAAATGAATATAAATTTTCTTCTAAGAATAATAGCCAGATAGAGCAGCATCGCTTCCATTTTTTAAATTATTCAGAGAGGCGCAACGTAGGCTCTCACCATCGGTGGCGCTTTACTTCTATAAGGCCAAAGATTCTCTCTAATTACAGTTGCATCTACAAGAATGTCTTTGCAGAATAAGAACTGGTAGCAGACGTTTCGATCATCTTTGCCTATAGTCTTCGAAAATCTGATAGGAAGCATAATAATAGAATAAGGCTTAGTACCGTTTTCAAGAACTTTCCGTTCAATAATAGAACTTATGCGTGCAAGACGTGCTTAAAAATAAACATAGGTACTCATGGTAAAGTTATATTCGAAGTACACCTTTGAGAAAATATTGCCTCTCCTTGCTTTGGTTTACGCAGAATCCTTTCATTCAGTTTACAATTTGTGACAACGAATCGGCAAAAACAACAGGCGAGGGTATTCTTCGGTATCCTGAAAGCCACTGAAAGGACATCGCCCTGTTGCCCGGGGCAACCAACGACACATTAGGGATTTTTATGGGTACCAGCAAACCTTCGGCGAACCTCCTTGACGGAGTAACCGTGCGAATACTAAACCCAGAGGACCTGGAGTCGCTCCCTCGTTTCTGGATCCAAGATGTTGGCATTCCTATAGAATTGAGGTTTATAAAAAGGTGGTATGCGTCAGACCCCGAAGGGTTTCGAGTAGCGGTAGATAGTAGGGACCGCATTATCGGTATGGCGAGTATCATGAAACAGACAGACCAACTTTACGTAATGGGTTATATGGGCGTAGCAAAACGCTACCGAGGTAAAGGAGTTGGTAGAATGCTTCTTGATAATCTACTTGCTCGGAGCCAACCTGCCAATTGTGCTCTTAGCGCGAGCGAAGATAAGCTCGACATGTATATTCGACGAGGATTCAAAAAGGTCGAGAACCTTAGTGGTTATTCTTATATTGGAAAGCTTAACATCGTAAAAAATCAGCCACCTCTTCCGCTTGACCTGGACATCGTTCATGTGAAGCCAGGAGATGCGTTGTTGGCCGAAGTGACTGCGTATGACGCAACCGTTTGTGGATTTCAACGAAATGTTGAACTAATTCAGTTTACCGAGCCTACCAGCATTGTATTAGCAGTTAAGCGACAGGGCAAAGTTGTAGCGTACGGTAAGGTACAAAAGTATATGCTTGGAGGAATTTGGTTAGGGCCAGTTTACGGCGACGAGATGTATATTGCGTCCCATTTAATTGAGGCGCTTATGCGACAATTTGAAAAAGATCGCTCCCCTTTCGTATTTGCGATTTTCAGTGCAAAAGCCCAACCCATTGCTAAGTCGCTTAATCTGAAACTGGTGGATAAACTTAGAAGATGCTATTTGGATACATCGCCTGAAAATTTGCCACCTGTCAAGATGGAGAACGTCTATGCTTTTGACGATGTCGGGTTTACATTTCTGTAAACTTCTCGCAATTATAGATTCTGCATGAAGAACTACTATGAAACGTCTAGTGATCTTGTGCGTCACCGACGTCGTTTTCACGTAGGTGGCAGTTGCGTAGTTTGAAAAAATAGATAACGTGAAATGTTTGTTACTGTATTGCTAATAAAACTGCCTCAATCTAACATCTTTATACACCAAATTGTTTAGATGTTCGCTACGCGTATGGGTAGCTAAACGTCGATAAAGAAAGCTTCAGCGCCGTATACAACTAGTGGATAATTTCTTCGAAAGATTAGTTCGAAAGAAGGCAGCTGAGCGTCCGTATGTAGCTGAGTATAAGATGGAGTGTTACTTTTGATTTCGATTAGAAATATTCAGTTTTAGCAGTAAAAATTGCCTTTTGAACCAAAGGCATCAAACGTTAATAGACTCTATCAGCGTTTCCATCAATGCCCCTACACATATTGCAGACGTCATAGATCTGCTTATGTGTCTATAAAGTAGGTAGTTCCACATAATAGTTTTAAACCAACGTATACACGTAAAAATAATTTATTGATTTTTGGCTAAACAAAACTAGATCTAGTTGTTCTAGCTACACACATTATCATTGTAGCCTAAACGCGGTGCCCCCTTCTCAATTATCGTCTTTGTAAGGTGTTTTGTACAACCTGTCTTGTAGATTAACTCTAGAAAAATATTGCACATTTGTTAAGGATCCATACGGGGTAGCAGACTTCGAAAGGAGAACGTATAGGGTACAAATACAGGACATCAACCCCTGGGAATGCAACAAGCTTCAAATTTAATGAGAGAAAAAGTTGAGTATTCAACTTTCCCGGATAACTTTTTTAAGTGACCTTTTTTACCCAACTAAAGAGCTATTAATTATTATTAAGTGGAACAAAAAAGGCGGTTATCAGTTTGCCATTCCTCTGGCTTTACATAAAAAAACAGCTGCTTTAGTTAGTGACAGTACAACTGTAGCAAAAATAAGCAAACATATATATATATATATATATATACAATGCAAAACAATTCCGTTTACACGGGAAACTCTTAACGGGTTATTTCCTATTTATCTCCTGTACGAATCACCTTAAGAATATTCGCTCAAAAGATGATGCCGTTTTTAAGAGGAAGAGTCGACCCAGATGCCACCTATATAGACCGCTGTTTTCCGACTCTGTACTCTTCACCATTTGCAATTTTACACCGATCAGCATTGCGGATTTGATCAGATCCACCTTTGACTCAGAGACCGATGTTATAGAAACGGATTGTTTTTACCTAGTTATCTTCCAAAAAGAGGTTTCGATGTTCTGTAACATTATCCAACGAACTACGCGCGTCGCGTAGTTCAACTGAGATTCAATGGGGCTACAGTGAAGACGTTGCATATAGTACACAACGTAAGTGGTAAATGTTACCCATAAGCAATCCAATCCATGTCAGATTCTACCCGAATTGACAGAAAAAATAGTCAGAACTGACAAAAAGCAAATAAATTATATTGAATATTAGACTATGTAATACCAGTCAGAAGACTAAATAGACATCAAGTAATTAGCGATACTCGGAAGCAAGGTGCTTTAAGGACATCAAGGACAACGAACAATGGATTGACATTAGTCTGTATTTTTGGATCATGTTGTTTAATGTGTACTCAATACAGACTCCGTACAAAAACTACATACAACAACAATTTGAAAATGAGAATACAACTGCATCCGTTTGTTCACGGAACTAATCCTTTGTTCTCTTCGAATTTAATCATAATTGTTCGCTTATTGCCAATTAAAATTGCCAATACAATCAATCAAATTAAATTTTATTTATTTGCCTTTACAAGTTAAAACTTGTCAACAACACACTTATTAAACATCAGAGCAAATGAAGCCATTGAAATGCGTGAGAAGTTTATAACACTAATTTGAGAGATTTGCAAGGTGTTCTAGGGATGGTACCGGAGGCAATGAGCGGCATATCTGTCAAATTTTCTCCTTCCGTGTGGAGCATCTACACATATCGTCAGGTTCATAGAAACCCAGTTTCCTGCGAAGTCCAGTAAACTCCTCATAGCTTTAGCTTGTAGTTCCTTATTGCTTCCGAAGCAAAAAAAAAAGTGTCCGCGAACTTTTGCTCCCATTTTTTGAGGTTCATTTTGGAAGCTTCCATCGCTGAGAGCTCAATAGGAACACAAGAATTCTCACACAGCAGTGACTGGTCGGCTAGAAGATACGCGAAACGATCTCGGATTACCGTGCGGAGTCCCACTGTTCCTTTAAGGCAGGAAGCTTTGATGTGATTTCATTTCTTGATGTTCTGCAATGCTAGATCTTTCTAAATGACGCGTACGCCATACGTTGCGATTGGAGTTACCTTGGGGTCGAACAAGCTGGGACCTGTTACGAGGGGCAAACGATGAGGCCGTTTTATCGTTCATGCGGCCGAAACTGTCTTCATGCATCTTTTGGTGAAGCCTCTGCCATTCACGGAAAAGAAAAGTACGCAGATCCGTTAACATAGACAAGAGACAAGTCGACGACATACGAGATATCATTCGCCATTGTCCTGACTTCCCTTCTAAACCTTACCCTTACAGCCTTTGTGATAAGGTTCAGGTTTATGGTCAGTTCCAAGATGGTGATTACCGTGCTAGTTCAACCGCTTCGTTTTTTTTTTCTTATTGATTCGCAGCGAAAAGCTGAGCCTATTTACAGGATGCCCACCTAGACTATTCTGGTCACAACCTGGTCCTGCTGCCTCGCCACGATGTCGGCGCGGTGGGTCGCTCTTTCCTTTAGGAATGACTAACAGTAGCATCTCTCCGTGAGCTAACTGCGTACCAGTATGCAAGCATTTATTAAGTAGTGCCGTCATGGACGATGCTAAAGCGGCAACGCATTCGAGATGCTGGTTGCGCACTCTAACCTCACCTTCGGCTTTTTGACACGTAGTATCCTAAAACATTGAACAAGTTTCCGCACCTGATTATAAAACTGCGATGAAAAAAGACATCGCGCGTGGCATCGTATCCCTCGACGCAATTGCCCATGACAAGTGACCGAGGAGCTCATCGGGTAAACTGCCGACCAGCCGTGGTGCGTTAGGTACGTAACCGTACGCTTGACGTTCTGCAGCGGTGATCAAAGATTTGCGCCGATACGAGTAAGACAAGCTAAACAGTCAACGCATTATTTTCTCTGCTCTCTAACTGTTCGCCACGCGAATAAATGATTATTGATTCAGTTACTTCGTGTGATCTCAGGTGATCTGAACTTAAGCATAAATTAAGTTAGACAATATCTGTAGTTCTGGTACTAATGAAACACTAAATGTAATATTGTTAACACTACAACGTAGTCCTACAAGTCGCACCGACGGGTCCTATAAATGAACGTTTTCCTGAATGTGGCATCACAAATCACAGCATACTGTGCCGTAATGATTCTGTTTAGACTTTTCTAAATGGCGAGGCCGAGTTCCACATCTCTAACTGCGTGATAGAATACCACACAGTAATATCAAATCTAAATTAAGGCATGGAGTCGGGACTAGCACTCGAAAACCAGGCGCTCATTCAGCGATTGGAAGCATTAATCGTAGTACTGGATTGCCCTAAACCCTATTTGGAGAGAACTAGCCAAACTACTGCCGTTTTTTTTTTCTAAAAGTTATAACACATTCGAAAAAAAAAAACGTGAGTAGATTTTCGTACAGCATGATCGCTGTGCTAAATTGACTTCTCTACTAGCACCGATTGCGGGGTATTTCGTTTCAAAAATATGTTCCATTTAAGGCTTAGCAAATAGAAGATGATACAGGAACCACTCAATATAATTGACGTTTCCAAAGTCGCTCCTTCGAAAAAAAATACAGTTTGGCCCTTCCGCACAATTTTGTTCTGTTCTCACATAAGGCCATAAAAGAATGTCCACCTGCAGAAATCTAACAAGATTACGTGCGCGCAAGGTACTTGCCGCGTACAGATGAAAACGTACACCGAAGCCCAGCGGAAAAAACCAGGCTATAATACAGAATATATATATATAGGATATAGATGCGGTACAGCCACACATAAAACTGAGCCGTGTGTCAGTTCGCAGCTCGAAGGAAATTACTCCCAAAAAAATACAATGAACGCGACGCTAGTTTCGAATCGATGCAGCCGTACAGGAGCGATAAAACTTCCTAAGCTCAGTAGGCAAAGTTCCAAGTTGACCTTTAAAGAAGTCCTCCACAATAACTTGAATTATATTTTCTTTCTCGAAAGAAAAAACGAGACGTGTTTCATAAACATTTAGGCGTGCCATGTGGCTATTTGAAATATGGGGGCCATTTGCAGACGATCCGCTACCGTCTCCAACGACGGACTAGTTACTGAGAACCCTTTTGGATTCACATAGAACGTTACACGTGTGTATTTCAAAATATGCGAGACCTACTAATTGTATGTTATTCAATTAGGTGCCAAGCAAATCAGGATATGAGAAATTATTTGTATCATGTTATCTAGGGTTTTTTTAAAGATTCTTTGCCGACCCTTATTAAAGAAGCAACTTTTGGGGTTTCACTGAGAATAGAGTCATTACAATTTTCTGGGGGCCTTTCAGTATATGCACGACTGAAATGCCAATTGTGCACTGTCGTCGTTCTGCGACAACGAAACGATACGGAGATTCACGTAAAGCTACCTTTATTTAGAGACAATTTAAACAATTGAGAGTGTCGATAGTACTGCAAAACTTAGCCGAGCTCATACAGGATAATGGATGGCGTGCAGGTTCGGGCGATGAAGCCGGAAGAACTAGAGCTCATTCCCCGATTCTGGTCAGAGGACGTTGGTATTCCGATGGAACTCAATGTTATGAAGCGGTGGTACCTCTTGGACCCGGAAGGGTTTCGAGTCGCTGTTGATACAAAAAATCGAATAGTTGGCATGGCCGTCGTACTAAAACAATGTGATAATTTATTCCTAATGGGCTATCTTGGAGTATCGATAAGGTACCGTAACAATGGCGTTGCGAGATTATTATTAAAAAATCTTATCTCTCGGTCTCCGACAGCGAATTACGGGCTTAGCGCAAGTGCGGACAAATTGGATATGTTCTTTCGGCGGGGGTTCCAGAAGGTTGAAAACACATATGCCTTCGCCTATATCGGAAAATTCTGTGATCACCTGGATGACAGTGCTAAGCCTACGGGAGTAGAGGTTGTTACGATAACGGCGGGGGATGGACAAGTCGCCGACTTAGCTGTTTATGATCAGGTAGTTAATGGTTTTACGAGAAACTTGGAACTGATTTTGCTCGGCGACCCAGCGTCGACGGTGATGGCCGTAAAGCAGGAGGGAAAGATAATTGGCTTTGGGAAAATGCAATATTACATACTTGGTGGCGCTTGGTTGGGTCCGGTCTATGCAGACAACGCACGCCTAGCTAGAGTGTTAATCAACGCCCTATTACGAAGCTTTCATAACAAGAAATGTCCGTACCTATTCACAATCATTAGTGATCAAGCTAGACCCTTACTGAAATCGCTTTCACTCAAGTTTACTGACAAACTGACCCGATGCTATCTAAAACAGGATCCGAAATTTCTTCCGTCGATGAAAATAGACAGAGTATTTGCCTTTGACGACCCGGGTTTTGCTTTATTATAATCAGCCCAGGTTCTCACAGTGCTTGTTACCGTGTCATCAAGTAAACCACGCTAGTTTCAATTCATCTTCAATAACAATACGACAATGATCATTAATAGCAGAATAGGACCGCTTGTCTGGCTTTTGAATGGTGTTCAAGTGGTGCATTGGTAAACCCCTCCGTCAATTATAATAAACATTGCTAGTGGAGTACAAATCGTGGCGAATTCACTCTAGTTAGCAGTAGTTTATCAGAATAATAGCTTTCTTTCGAAAGCTTTGAAATCTGTCAAGAAAATTTGTTGATCTAAGGACACACGAAAAATGTCAATAGGCGCGCTATTACAGGCTTCGATAGCAGGCACTCGTTATTAAGTTGAATGAGCCTACTAGGATATATAGCCCAAGACTGTTGGTACGCAAATGTAAAAAGACAATTTCGAAAACAGTAGACGTTGCCCGAGTTTTGACAAAATAGAACGCGAAAAATGAACTGCGAGCACAGATGGTGGTAGTGAGGAATGCTTTGGGATAATCAATCATAGAAATTGGGGGCAAAAATCTAATCGTTTGATTCATTCATACATACGTCTATGACTGACAAATAAACGCGATGCTCAAGCAGTGGAGCTTTTTGTAGGCGCAATAGTTACTACAATAGTTTATTGCTTTCTTTTAATGTATACCCGCCCCATACATACGCGTTACGCACAAATTCATTCCTTACAAGTAAACTGACATTTAAAAGCAACATATTTGTCATTGTTTCAAAACTTCGTAGACAACCATGGACGACCGTACTATAGCGTCCTCTTGAAAAGCCCATTAAGCTGACAGACTGGATTCGAATTGTTTTTCTATGTAATTTGTTGTTGTAATCTGCGAGAGGTCTGAAAACTTTGACAAGAAAAGTGGGCGAATTGTATGACACATACGACCAAATACGTTCTTCAACCGTCAGCTGTTAGGGCCCTTGCCCGGAGACACGAAATCTCCAATTGATACTTTGTCCCTTTGAGACAACGAACTGCAAAATTTCAGGGGGCTGAGCCCTTTACAAGAGTAAACATTTCTTTGGAATATCTGCGTAGAAGCTTACAGCCCGAAATTGCACGATGAAACATAACGAACCTCTGAAAGAAGAAACTCTCGTAGATGGGCTCACGATCAGACTTCTAAAGGAGGACGAGTTGGAATCAGTTGCTCGCTTCTGGACCGTCGACATCGGTATTCCTGTTGAGGTCAGGCTGTTTAAAAGATGGTTCATCGTCGATCCGGAGGCCTTTCAGATAGTTGTCGACAAAACAAATCGTATTATTGCGTCGGCGACAGTGGTTAAACAGACGGAAGGGTTGTTTGTGCTTGGTTACATGAGCGTGGCAAAGGATTACCGTGGAAAAGGTATTGGCAGGATGCTACTTCAACGTATGGTACAGCGAGCTTCCTTAGCCAACTATGTGCTCAGCGCGAATGGCTCGAAACTTTCGATGTTTGAGGAGAAGGGATTTAAGCGAGAAGAAGTCGGTGGTGCACTAGCCTATATTGGGAAGTTTACAAATCAGCTTGACGAAATCCCACCAAAGGGAGATGATATGGAGATGATAAAAGCGACAGTCGGCGATGCGATCGTCTCCGAAATAGGCGAGTATGATAGAATGGTTAATGGTTTTGCAAGGAACGTACCGATCCTAATTTTCGATGATCCGACGAGCATAGTGCTTGTTGTTAAACAGAGAGGTAAAGTTGTAGGATATGGTAGAATCCAGCCGTATGTTCATAAGGGGGCCTGGCTAGGGCCAATTTATGCGGATGATTCGGCTGCAGCGAGGTACCTTATCGACTCACTTCTGCGAAGCTACGCCGATAAAAAGTGTACCATTATCTTTGGAATTATTAGTGAGAGAGGCCAGCCGTTCGCTAATTCTCTTGGACTGAAATTTATTGAAAGGCTTACAAGGTGTACGCTCAAAAACGGTTCGTTGGAGTTTCCACCATCGAAATTGGATAAAGTCTATGTGTTTGATGATCCAGGTCTGGCCTATTTGTAACTGATCGATAGCCAACAAGCAATATAAATCCGGCCTTTAGTTAGCGAAAGCCCTGCAGTTCCAATAAAATCTCTTAAGTATTTTAAAATCGGGTCTGAATTTTATCAGTATTTATTATTGATCATCTGTGGCTAGATTAAAAAAGAAAACGATTTCAGTACGCGTCTCTAGTACAGAAGATCACGTGCAATATTACTATTGCCTACCAATGCCAACCTCTAGCAACACAGCATGCTTATATATATATATATATATATATAATTTTATTTTTATAGATTAAAAGCTTGGGTAATTAGTATGGGTCAATCCAGTGTGCGTGTGTGAGATGGACCAAGTTTGAGTTCGATGATGCACTGATCGTGTTTGATAATCTTAGGCCTAATGAATAAAAACAGATCGTAAGGCCTCATATCGTACAGCCTGATGTCTTGTATAATTCGATGCATTGTAACATAAAGGTCAGCGTGTCAACGAATTGTGCACCTCGCTATCATTGTTGAACGCGGTAATGATCCACATGTGTTAAAGCCATCGTTATAAATTTTGGCCAAAAAAATAGGCTGCGTAGCATGCCTTACGCGCAACTATATAAAGCATGGTATGTCTATCAGAGTCGATCAATCCTAGTTTAGTTTTCTTTTTTTTTTTGGCGATATGCTATTAATGCATTACTTTATGAACGAAGGCTGCAATGCAACTGATTTGTCGTTATCCTCTTATTATTTTATATAATATAAACTGTATGTATATGCAGGCCAAATAGGCACCATTGTCCGTCAACACATGGAATCCGACTAAAAATGAGCTAAGGATGGAACATCAATCAAGCAGGCGGTTATTTTTCTATTTTTTTTTTTGAGGAAAGGTATGCAATGCGATTCCGTAGAATCTAACAATAAGAACCAGTTCTTGTAGAAACATCGTCTTTTTAATTCCGTTACACTATTATGACGCAATGCTACGTGCTTTTTGAAGTTTCCTGCAAGCTCTCAAAACTCAGGAAGAGGTTGCTACGCAATTAGGTACTTCGACCCAGATACTTTGATTGAAGATGCTAAAAAATTTGGGCAGAGGTCAACAATTACCCTGGGGCGAAGAACAAGCTTGTAGTCAACAGACCAATCAAAAGAGAATGGAATTTCAGTCAGTAATTATTCTGCTCGCCTGCAGTACCGCACCTAATAACGTGCCTGCGAAAGATAGAATCCTCATAGGCTGAATACCACACTCAGTGGCAAAATTGATGTCGGTACGCTGCCTGAAATGTCAGAGTGGATGGAATATAAAGCAGACAGCTATAAAGGAACTGTAAGGTCGGGAAGATTATATCGAGAAGATATAATCGGGAAACACTGCGCACGACGTGTAAGCGTATACGAAGGCTGCTTCCTGTAACAGCTATGCGGCCATGCTGCCAAGCTAAGTGTCCCGAGTAACGGACTAATATAAGCAAGTACAATAAGGCTAGTAGATCTACAATCGAGCTACATAAATGTCATCATAAAACATCCCGATACCTATCCCATTCCGTACAAACCATTTTCTCGAAGCTGTTTCACTATATTGCAGCCTGAGCGATCCACCTAAAGAAAGATTCTGTTGACATTGCTCATTTAATCGCTCCGCTGGCGTCGTTGACCAAAAAAAAAAAGAAAAATGCCTACCTAGTGTCTCACTATTGCAGGAGCAGCAAGAGGCATGTGCGGTCGAGTAAATACAAAGGGCAAATTTCAAAATCAATTTTTCAATACTTGACCGAATCACTTCAGCTCAAAGCAGTAGCTAGAATTGATATAACACGTCTAGATGGGCGCACGCCTAGAAAGAGGCACTCTTGCCAAACTCACGCACAATGCTCTAGTTATTGTAGATGAAAAATTTTCGACCGTATTGTATGTACCACATACCCAGCATTGCAGGCCTCTTCTTTGTCATAACAAAGGTATATTTGACTTGAACTTTTACCCCCTCCCCCCCAAAACCACTAGGCATCCTTGGCAATTCCTATTCCCTTTACAACTCGTCTGCACTCCATTTATACCGTCTGAGGCAGTTCGAGTCAGCAGTCATAAACTGATATTGTAATGTTCGTTGTTACCTCTATGCGTAAGCTTTAAAATTCCTTCCTTGTATTTTTTTGTAAGTGACTGTTTTCATTATTTAGTATTATTAGCATCTACATTTGGTGGGAAAGCATCCTCCAAATGAAATTACGTCAATGAGCATTAAAGATGCTTTCCGGTCATGAGCGTATCTAAAAACAGACAGAATCAATTGCCAACTCACGCTTGGTTATTTATTTCTCTGATTACCCAAGCCTTTAGGACAATGTCCCTTCCTTTAGTAAAATCGTAATAAATTTAATTAGTGAATTATCATTCGCGACTCAAGTGTACATTGATGACTTTAGTGTCTGTGAGTGTACTTGAGTAGTACAAACTGCCGTAGATCTCAATATTCTAGCCGTTGTTTACCGATGTCAAATTAGCGCGTAACAGTGAGTGATGTCCTGCAATATTTGGCTGGGGAAGTATTCCAGCTGGTTGCCAATTGCAGGACGCACAACGCCGAGCTTTCCAGCTGACGGTCTTTGGAGTTGAAATGAACGGACAGAACGCGTATAGCCAGCTGAACGAGACGCACAAACGGCTAAAACGACACGTGTTTACGTCGTTTCCGGTTAACATTAGGAACAAAGAGAACTCGACTGTACATACCGGCCTGAAGGCGTAACTTACGCGAAGGAGAGACATCATGTCACAACCTAACATTACTCTTGACGTAGACTCAGGATCGCCAATCAGAACTGCAATACGTAAATTACGTTGTTTCACGCAAGGTTTAAGTTAGTTTCATCTACGTAAGTACAATTTAACTAGATAGAGTATGCATAGTACTATAACCGGGTTGTTCTGCTACACAAAGATGGTCTTCTGCTTTACATCAGCAATTATTGCCACGATCCACTCCAGATATTGTATCTGCATTGTGGAAGATTGCATTCAGGAGGTTAGTTTACAATCACACAAAAAAATAGCTATAATAAATTTTGCCCTCCATAGCCATGTAAATCTTAGAGAAAAAACCTCTTCTGCGTTAAGCCCTGCACCGTTTCTTATAATGAGTCACATGTTTAATGCTACCAAGCACGCGGAATCCGCCTTGACAAAATGCAGTGTTTAAAAAAAACATTTTCAACAAAGTTGAGATCACGAATGTCATACAGAGCTAGCCGTCCCCTAACTCGAGAGAGCTCGCTGATTCGGCATGAAGCTTTGATAGACGATTGCACGAAACGCATAGACTATTTTTATCGCTATGCCACTTCATTTGGCGACCCAGTAATGTTCGAGGGGGCTCATCTGTTTTCACTTTTACGTCCGGTATCGCTACTAGGCATTACGTCGTAACCCACTAACATACGGGCTTCGAAGGAACTCCTATAATGTTTTTGTTTTCCTAGGGAACTCTATTCATATATGCAGGCATATGCCAATGATGAACTTACAGAATTCATTCCATTGTTTTCTGCTTAAAGGAAGTGTACAGGTACATTAAATACCTTTAAAGTATGCACGTTACGTTAGCCAGAGGGCAATGTAGCATGGATGGCTAATACGCATCTCTGAATGCTTCGCTATAGGGCGAACGTTAATGCGGATCTTACTTCTGCCGCTGCTGTCGGACGAAAAAATCATTTTGGAAGAGGAAACATAACTAAATAGGATTACTGGAAATTCTAAGATGGTTAGCTATAGATTAATCACGGATTTGTTCCGGAAAACTCAGACCTGTCTAGCAGGATCCATTTTGGCAATCTACGAAGCAATTCTAAAAGCTGATTCTGAAAACTCGGACCCGCAGGAGGCTAGTTAAAAGAATACACCCCAAATGGGCAAGCATACTTTGCTATGCGCGCTGATCTGTGCAACTCAGTAAAATGATTTTGATCTGAATGCTCAGCTGACGATACACCGTAAGTAGAAAAAGACAATTGTTCCCCGTCGAGCTTTGGCAAAGAATTCAGACTTCGGTCCTCAGTTGGGAGAATATTAATCTCTGAATTTAATAAGCTACCTATATCCAGCGTTACATAGTCTATTTGTTGATTGTGAATGCATTTTTCTTTTGAGATGTTGCCAATAATAACTTATCGTTCCGTGCTATGTTACGTTATATCAGCTAACGATAGCACGCTTGAACACTAACAGCTCCTAATGCTCACATGCAGCTGCACGTTCTTGAAATAGAACATAAAATTAATAGGTCCTAAATTCTAACTCCATCGGGTACATATAAACCAATACCGCCTGGTTTACGATGTTTGTGATGCACGTAAATGGACCTCATACAGATCGTATCGCGCGGTAGCTGATCGTAAATGGGCTCGTGCACTACCCAAACGGGTCAAACCTACATGTACAGTGCATGCAATTTTCCGACGCGGACTACGATAGCTGCGGCGAGCGTTAGCAACATTTGTTGATTTTATTTTGTGGCTCGCCGTGTAGGAATTGTTTCACGTTATCTTCGCTATCGCCTGTTGCTGAATGGCATAACCTTGCGTTGTAGCAAACCTGTCATTACGATTGTATATATAATACCGGAGTTGGCACGTGCAATTCGGTACTGAAACGACAAAACTGACGGCATTTTACGGCAAAAGAGTCGTCGTGCTTTCGACACTTCGCATAACCTTTGTACCGTGTAGAAATAACTATTTCACTGCTTATTTTACACGTAAACTTTCAAACTACAATGTTAAATATGCATGAACCGTGTGACAGTAAAGAGATATGAAGTACACATTGGAAAGCTGTTAAGTGAAGCCAACATCAGCTGAGGCAATATGACGTTATTTTAGTTGCCTCCAAGTGAAATTAGAGATTTGTCGTAAGGCTTACTTACGTTTTCGGAACTTCAATACGTTTAGCTTCCAGCGGCCGTGTTTCACGTCGTCTGCCTTCAACTCAAACGACGCAGAGGTGCTTGCTCACGTCGTACTTGAGCTCAGTGTACTGTATATTAGTTAGTCGAGCAACGCGCACGCAACGAAAATTCTAAAAAAAAACCTTAAGACACAAT